AAAAGAAGATTGCTTCATGCACTCCTAAGGAGGTCGATTGTATGGAATTAGAATCATTGGCCATATACTATGACTATTATTCATGGTTCGATATGGATTAAAGCCATCAGTTATAAGGCCAAGACGAACATTTCTAGGTTCTAAAACAAACTTATGGTGAAGTTGATCAAAATTCTTCCATACTTTAGCATCTCTTGGATGCCTCAATGGTCCATACTGATTATTGTTTAAAACATGTCATCTCATAGACTTCGCTGTTTTTGGACACAAATAATCTTTGCAGCCTTGGTTTCAAGAGGAAGTATCGTAAGACCTTTGTTGGTATTTTCTTTTAATTACTAGTACCATTTTTTTTCCATCTAGATTTCTTACAATATTTACAACTCTCCAATTTTTCATCTTCTCCCCAATACAACATGAAATTTTTTTGGCAAACATCTATCTTGGTATAATTAAGACCAAGCTTATAAATCACCTTCTTTGTCTCATAAAGTGAAGTAGAAAATTTTGCATATGAAAATGCATCTGCTAATAACTCTAAAATCATCATCATAGCCTTATCAGTCATACCACACAAACATTTTATATGATACAACCTTAATAGAAAAGACAACTTCAAAAACTTTTTGCACCCTTCATATAACTCTTGGTTGCAATCTCTAAGAAAATCAACATACTCTTGACATTCTTCACTAGGCATGGTTTCTACAAACTCAACTTGTTCATCACACATGTTAGACTCTACATCATGTTGTCTATTCCTCCCAAATGCATCATTTATCATATCTATCATTGGATTTCCATTTTGTAATGACACATTTACTACTTCATTGTCCCTTGATGCTATTGTTTCATATGTCTCCCCATGCCGAATCCAGACTTTATAATTTGTTGGAAATTTCTTGCAAATCAAGTGGTCAAACACACCTTCTCTAGTTTCCCATTTGTCATAGTGACATTTAGGACATGGACAAATTATTGCACCATTGACAAATTGATTCTCAAATGAAAAATCTAAAAATCTATTCAGTCCATCCAAATATTCAATTGTATTCCGTGGCATATCAATCCATGATTTATCCATTTTTATATCTGTCCAACGAAATAAGAAAAACATAAGTTGCAAAATATTTTCTATATCCTTGATGTACATAAACTAAGGTATAAAAGAGACATTAATACTCCTAAAATTCAGGAGTTTCCAACTATGTCGTACTCTTAAATCCACAAAGTAGAACCTTACATAACTCGAGAATCCCTCCTATTAAGTAAGCACACTTCAACTATAATTATGTTATGTTTTTATCAAACAAAAAATACTATGCATATCAACAATTTAGATTAAAAAAAATATTTATGAAATTTTGCTAATATATAAATAATATACAGGATATTGACAGGATGATGTGAATGAGAAATACATTAACGAAAAAGGCATATGCAGAGTCTAAAACACAATTCACAGTGACATACACAAGAAAATTACATAAATTAAAAATCAGTAATAACATAATGCAATTAAATTAGAAATTAGCAATAACAGAAACAAAAGGCTAATTAAATACAACATCAAATTAAAGTTTATTTTTCTCCTTTTACTCAAAATGCAATTAGATTTCAACATATTTTGTTATTGATGCCAAATTCATATGTATAGCTTCAGTCTCTAACACTTTTTGTTGTTGAAGAAAAGTGTAAAATACTTATCTGGACGAGAGGACAACGAGCTCACTAAAACAAAGCGTAGAAAATTAAAGGCTATTCAACCCATAACCTATAGTGTTATCAAAGTTTGATTTTCCTATTGCAAAAAATTGCATTTTCAATTCTAAATATTCCTATCTTATTTCTTACATTAATTTACTAATCATGGGAATGTCAAACTTGATCATTGTAGTTAGTTTTTAAAAATAGTTATGACTCGTGAAACATTTATTTTCCTACCTTAAAAGGATCAAGCTATAAGAGCAGTGCTCATTCTGCAAAATTTAAAGGATTATGTCTTGAAATGGACCTTAGCGTACACAACTCCTTTTCTAAACTACTATACTATATTGGCTAGCACATATGGATTAGAGAACTATTAGGAGGAAATTTTTATTTGTGTTTTATGTTTGTAACAACATTACTAAAACTTGTTCCAATATGCAGAATCCGTTATATGAGCACATGCAACTACAACAAAGATTATGCTAGGTAAGAAAATGAATTAAATACATGATACAAAAAATTAAAGGGACTTGTTGCCAAAGATTCTTTTGGCCACAATTACAAAATGCACACACTTGAATAAAAACATTTCTTAAGACATATGACAGTTTATAAACCTGAAAACAATTAGACGAATTATTAATGAACATGGATATTATCAAATAAATGTGCAGTAAAGGATTGGAACCTTTATGCATGTCCTAAAAACATTACTATGAGTTAACATCTTAGTGCAGTGTCCAACTAGTGTCACCTTGAGTTCCTCATACAATCCAAAGTCAAAAACCTTTAACACCTTAAACTAATAACACCAAAAAGGTAGCTTAAACGATAAAATTCAAGTTGGCACACCCATTAAACCAAGTTCAGAGCATACAGGGAAACTTGGCTCACCAAATTTCTAAGTCAAATAACTTCAAATATAATGCACTCTTAGGATCCCAAGTTAGAAGATTAAAAAACAAAAACTGATAAAAACAAAAACAAAAAAATAGAGCTTAAATGCAATTGCAATGCGACAAATGTTGTCTCAGACACCTGGATCTACAACATTCATGGTTTCTTCTATCCCTACCCCTTATTTACTGAAAATGTAAAATAAGTCTATATTGGTAATGGATTTGTCCAAGAATTAAAAAGCAAATTGATTCTAGAATGAGAGAGAAAGTATGCCTTCAGCAACCAAATTACTTTTCAATTTCTTTCATGCATTCCTTCAAACACCAGAAAGGCACTTGAAAATCAAAACTTAATCATTTCAAAACAGTTCATTGTCTGTCACAAGCTCTACAAATATGTCCTACAATAATTACCACTTAGCCAATAATTCGCACTATGGCTCGAAACACAAACAGAACAACAACAAAACGTAACGAAATAAGAAATTATATTAAAAGTTTCGTACCCGATGTTAAGAAAAAACAAAGAATGACTGAACATAGATTTTTTCCATGCGTCACAGAGAATGAGAAATAACATATGCTGTGAATTGAAGCAAAAAGCGATAGATAAAACTCCTGTAATTTTCCACAAAAATCACAAACACATGAAATTGAAAAGTAAAACGTAAGAACTTAATAACTTGAAAAATTAGACCTGAATGGGTGATTAAGAAATGATATGTGACGTTATAGTGAAAGATGAGTACAAGAATGAAAGAGACGACAAGGAGAGAAAGAGAAGACAAAAGAAAGTGAGAGAATTAGAAAAGACAAAATTAGAAAAATAAAAATAAATAAAAACAAATAATTTTTTTTAAATTAATATTAATTAAGATTATTGTATCATTTAAATTATTTATCATAAATTACCTTTAATTTTTACGATTTTTATAACTGCTTAAAAATAAACTTCTAATCATTATGAAATTTTGTGTAGTATTAGTCAAGAGCTAACATACATGCTATCATTAAATTGGTTTTAAAAGTTAGTCTAAAAATAATATTTTTTTGATAAAATTGTGACAGAAAATAGATCATATATATATATATATATATATATATAAATTTAATTTATAAAGATAGAACTATTAAGTTGAGTTCTATTTTCATTTAATCTTTTAGACTTTATTAGTTTTTTTATCAAAAAGAAAGGAGATGAAGTGGAATGATTCGTAAATAAGATGATTATAGATTATGCATTTTTTTCATTAATAAATGGACTAATGAAATAATTATAATTACTAGCTAAAATTATCAATAATAGTATAACTTATTTTATTATCTATATAAAAACTGATTTTATTTTATAAAAAAATAAATAAATTTATAAAAAATATAAATGTAAGAAGCAGTAAAGAGTAGTTCTAATATCAATATTCATCTAATATATCATATTTATATACAATCATTTAAAATTGAATAATTCATTAAATTTATCATAATTCACTTAATATTCTTTTTCATATTAAAATCTTTAAATATATTTTATATTATTTTAAATTAAAATAAATATTTTATTTATTTCATTAAAAATATTATTTTTTATGATAAATGAGGTGATTTAATGATTAAATCTTTCTAATATTATTTAATTATATTAGAGATTTATATTAATTTTTTTATATTTAATTTATTTATAATATTTATTTTCTAAAAATAGGATAATGTTATTATTTATTTAATGATATATTAATTTGTTAATAACATGTTTAATTATTTTTAAGTTTTAGAATTCTAATTTTAACTAATATAAAAAATAGTTAATTATGTAGTAGTATATGAGGTATGAAAAAAGTTAAAATTAAATTTATATTTAAAAGTCATTTATTTATTATAAATATTAAATCGTGAAATAATATATCTAATTAATAAAATAAATTATTTATAATTTTTAAAATATATTTAATGTTTTATTTTATTTAAATATAAATTAAATTAAATTATTATTAAAATAAATTCATAAATATATTTAAAAACATAATTTTATGAAAAAAATATATAGTTTTTAGTTACTTGTGAGAAAATAATTAAAAAAATATAAAAACAAGAAAAAACTTATTGCATTTTAAATAGGTGAGTATAAATATGGAGGTTAGTTTTGTACATGAACTATCTATTCAGAGAGAGAAAAAAAAAAAAAACTAAATAAGGTGTTATGCGAGTGAGATAACAACGTGTGAAGTGTCGATTGTTGACTGAGTGACGATCAACTGTGTCGAACAGAACATGAATGTGGATTTTCTTTGATACTTCAATGCAAACTGACCCGGTCAATCCAAACTCGCAAACTCTTTGTATAAACATGTTTGCAGAAGAAGGTGCAAATTCATGAGCTTATCGCTTGCAACAATGGGACTGAGGGTGCTTACACAGATGCAAGTGACCCTGCTGCTGATCATTGCGTTAACAAGAACAGGAACTGAAGCTGCCGGGCAAGCCCTGTCCGGCTGCCCTGATTCCTGCGGAAGTGTTTCAATTCCATACCCCTTTGGCGTAGGCGTGTCAAAAGTCACGGGTAAGGACTGTTACATGGAGAAACACTTGAATCTCACATGCAAAGAATCCATTCTATACGCAGGTAACGTTCAAATTCTGAACATATCCCTCCTAGGTCAATTGGAGATGAATTTTTTCGTCTCCAGTATCTGCAAGAGCAACATTTCTAAAGGAAACGGAGAAGCCAACTCACCCACAATCACAACTGCATCCTTCACCATATCCAGCACGGACAATAAGTTCGTGAGTGTAGGCTGCGACACGTACGGGTATCTCAACAACTACATAAACAATGTGAAATACTCAACGGGGTGCTTGACAAGATGTAACGATGAGAATCAAGTGAACATCCAAAGCATGCAGACAAGTAAAGGGGAGTGTTCGGGGATAGGGTGCTGCCAGGTGGATATACCTCCTGGAATGACGAACATTAGTATACAAGCCTTCTCCTTTAAAAATTTCAGTTACTCTTCCAATCTCAACAGCTGCAGCTCTTCGTTTGTGGTGAAAAATGGGAACTACACTTTCTCGCTGGATGATTTGAAAAAACTTCCATTCGATAAGGCTCCCATGGTCGTTGATTGGAGGGTTGGAAATGAAGCGTGTAATGCGTCCAAGGATAAAAGTAACTATGCGTGCTCGAATAACAGCGACTGCGAGGACCCACCCTCCGCCAATGGAAATGGCTACCGATGCAAATGTAAAGCAGGGTTTGAGGGCAACCCTTACCAAGGTTGCACAGGTAATTATTTAATTATGCTACCTAAACATTAATATAACAATTTTTATTTTTATGACATAGCTATTTGTGATTGATTGACTTGTACCATTGACTTTAGAAATGTAATAAATAATATAACTGTCGTTCCAAAATTAAACACTGTATATTTCCGTTTAGGATTTCATGTCATTTCTTTTAATGGATTAAGGTGTTTTTCATTGTATATGTAGATTTTATTTCAGCTTTGTCATTTCTCGAAATGATTATTTGTGTTTGACCTTCGTAGACATTTTGGAATGTAAACTTGACAAACACAACTGCACAAGTCAAGATTATTGTCGTGAAACTCCCGGTTCTTTTGAATGTTTCTGTCCCGATGGACTCATCGGAGATGGAACAATAAAAGGCGGAGGATGTCGACAAAAGCCTCGGCCTGATCTATTTGCCAAGATCGTCATTGGTAAGCAATTGTGTTATTCATATTTCACCTTCTTCAAAACGCTAATAATTTCCTTTTAAAAAGTATATATTATATATTTTCAGTACATAATTGGTTTATTCATATTTTGATAACAGGCGCAGGCGCAGGATTAATCGCTCTCTTTATTGGGGTTTCTTGGCTATACTTGATGTACCAGAAAAGAAAACTCCTCAAATTAAAGGAGAAGTTCTTTCAGCAGAATGGGGGCATAATTCTCAGACAGCAACTCTCTACAAGACAAGACTCCTCTCAATCCACTACAATTTTCAGTGCCGAGCAACTTAAGAGAGCCACCAATGATTTTGATGAGAACTTAATCATCGGTAAAGGAGGTTTTGGTACAGTTTTCAAAGGAGTTCTCTCAAATAATAATGTTGTTGCTATAAAAAAGTCCAAAATAGTGGATCAGAGCCAGGTGGAGCAGTTCATTAATGAGGTCATTATACTGTCACAAATTAATCACAGGAATGTGGTCAAACTCTTGGGTTGTTGTCTAGAGACAGAAGTTCCTTTACTGGTCTATGAATTTGTTAATCTTGGAACCCTTTTTGATTATGTACATAATCAAGATCAGAAGGCTAATGTGTGTTGGAAAACGCGTCTAAGGATTGCCACGGAGGCAGCTGCAGCTCTGGCTTATCTACACTCAGCAGCTTCCATACCCATCATCCACAGAGATGTGAAGACTGCCAACATACTCTTAGATGACACTTACACTGCCAAAGTGTCTGACTTCGGAGCTTCAAGATTGGTTCCACTTGACCAAACTGAAATAGCCACAATTGTGCAAGGAACCTTTGGCTATTTAGACCCAGAGTACATGCAATCAAGCCAATTGACCGAAAAAAGTGATGTCTATAGCTTCGGGGTAGTGCTTGTAGAACTGCTAACAGGGGAGAAACCTTTCTCCTTTGACAGGGCAGAAGAGAATCGAAGTATTACAGTTCACTTTCTATGCAGCTTGAAAGAGGATCGTCTGTTTGAAATTCTTCAGATTGGTATTTTGAATGAAGAAAATAAGCAGGAGATTATGGAGGTTGCTGTTCTTGCTGCCAGGTGCTTGAGACTTAGGGGGGAGGAAAGGCCTAGCATGAAGGAAGTGGCAATGGAATTGGAGGGAATAAGGCTTATGGAGAAACATCCTTGGATCAACAATACAGGCCAAAATTTTGAGGAGAGTCAATACTTGCTTGGTGAGGCACAAAGCACTCGTGAACATGGTGACAGTAGTAGCCAACAAAATACTGGATATGATAGCTTGAGACAACTCGAGTTAATTGACTTCGGTAAAGGAAGATGATCAACTCTCACTGCACAACAATATGCATTCCCACTTCAGTCTATTTCATCTTACAACATATTTCTACTTTTATTTGATTTAGTTGACATGGTAATAATTCGAACAAGGAATTCAGTTTATGATCATGCCAGTAACATATTTCTACGTTTTGCTTGACTCGTTTTAAACCCTTTGTTACCTTGTTTTCTGTACTGTTATCTGCATATGAAAATACTTTTAAAGGTAGTCAGTGTAGGGATTATATCTTGTAGCAACTTTATGAACAATATTACACTTTTATAATAAAGATGTCATGGTCTTGTTTCTCCCTTAATCTTTATTAATAGCCTTAAACAAACCAAATCTTTAAAAGATATTGGATCTAATAAAATCTTAATATCATTAAGTCGAATGACATTAGGCTTTTTCATTGATAAAAAAAAATAACAAGTAAAATATAAAAAGTAAAATACATACAAGTAAATAATTTATTATATTTACAAAATAAAGTGTAATATTACAAGAGTATAAAAACAACAAATGTTCATTAAAAAACTCATCTTTAATATTTGAAGAATCAATGGTTTATTCAGTTTTTATCGTAATAGTTCACAAGACTTTTGTATATGATCTTTATGGTAAACTTCAAAAAAACCTTCCCCTAATTAATCTAGATTAATTAACAAAACAATAAAGAAGGTGTACTTAGTAGAGAATAGGAGCCCGTAGAGAATGTTGATAAAGTCTTCGTCTACCCTCATAATTTTGCTTTTCTGATGAAAGAAAGAAGAAGACAAATATTAGAAAAATATATAAATAAAAGATGACCAAAAGAAAATTAAAATGACAAGGTCAAGGACATGGACATGACAGAGACATCTTAGTATATCTTCGACGTGTTCCTCGTCAGTTGCAATACTTGATGCAAATTTATTCATTTGTCAATTTGTGGTTCCCTACAACGACTTCGATCGTAGGGAGGAAAAACCGAGAATTGAAAAATAATTAGCGGAGAGAAATAAATGAAAAAAATTATTTAATAATAATAAAAAAATATGTCAAATGTTTTACTTCCATTTATATAAAATGAAAAAAAATCATAACCTTTTCTTTAATAAATAATTATTTATTTTTATATTTATAATTATATATATATATATATATATATTTTTTTTTCTATAGAAAAATTATAATAATAAATAATCTAGAACATGTTGGTTTGGATATTACTTTGGAATTTATGGGACTGAGATATGCTTAATGCTAAAACAAGAGGATTATGGAAAACTAATGTATAATGACAATTTCATGCTTGAGTCTATATAAGAAAAGAGATAATAGATAAATATCTATGTAAGAACCTGACTTATAAGCTTATTTATAAGTTTTTTATAAAAATATTTTAGATAATAAATTATATTTATTTTTACGATATTTAATATTTTAATAACATGATATTCTCTTCTTTATAATTAAATAATTAGATATATTTATTTTGGGTTATATAATTAAATGAGGAAATATTTTCATTTAATGTCATATAATTAATATGAAAATTAGGATAGATACAAAAGTATCTAAGTTAAAAGTGTAACTTTTAGATAAAGAGTTGACTAAATCCAATTTATGAAATTTTAGAATATTTATCAAAGTTATTTTCATATTCTTTCATTATTTATAAATGATATATATGTTATTTAGGTCTCTAAATTAGTCACTATTAGCTATAATAAAATTCACTTTCCTTTTTAAATTAATTATAAGTTATTTTTTCATGTGTAATTAAGTTGATTCAACGACTAATTACAAGAAAAATAATAAATAGTAACTAAAAAATCAGTTATTAAATGACAAAAATCAGTCATTGATGAAAATAATGATTGAAATATTGATGAATGCGAGTCTGTAACATTTTCTTTGATCAACTGATGTATAGTGACAAATTCAGATGACTAAATTGAAAATATGAAATTCGATCGTTATATCAATTATTAATTTTATTTTTTTATTAATATATAATTTTAAAAATAATAATAAACTTGATTGAGGTATATAAACTATTTAAATACGTGATATCTTATATAAAATTTATTATAATATTACTATATAAGATAATCATCAAAATAATACTACAAATATTTATCAAAATGAAATACAATTTTTTTCAAAATAAACTCATTATCTATGGCTTAAATGCTTTTTTTACATATTAAAAGTTCAATATAAGCATGTTAGAAACTAACAAAGTAATAAAATACAATATGTAGAATAGAAGTATCATTTCACCAAAGGAGCAACATTTTATCATTTTGTTGAGTTTTTCTCTCATTAGTTAAACATTCTTTCACAAAAATTATTCATTTCAGTCTCAATTTCTTGTAACTTGTGTTTTAATTGTTTAATTTTCTCTCTCATGAGCTGAACATATATGATGATGAAGTAGATTCCTAACGAACATGTTTTCCAATTGCTTTGCTTAACACAAATCCAAACTCATGTACTTTTGTCTTTATTTATTCCAACAACTTTATACCAAACCTGTAATTTATTAGGAAGAGAACCTCTTGTAATAGATCTTGACTGAGAAGTTTCTTCCTATGCACAAGTAAACTAGTAAATTGAAAAAAAAATGTAAAATCAAGAAAAGTAAAAAACTTATGTCCACATGTGTTATCTCTAATCCACCCATATATTATCTTTTTGTTGGTGTATTTTACACAACAATTCTGATGGGATAGGAGTTTTTCATTTAACTTTGTCTAAAATATATAGTTAAAATCACAAATTTAGAAGTACAATATAAAAAAAAAAAGCAAATAAATTTCTCATGGAAATACATAATATAATTTGTATAGTATTAGGACTTTGCGTAATGTCACAATGCATCAGTTGCAACAATGGCATTTTTAGAAAGTTTACCGCTTCGCCTATGTCAACAAAATACTATATGTGTGGTTGAAATCTTGGGTTCAACATACAATGGACGGTTCATGATGTCAAGCTTCTCAATGACCTAATACTTCAAAAACATGCTTATCAATATATGACAGTTTTGTATTTTAACATTAAGTTTAAAAAAAAGTGATAATATAATAAATACTTAATCATCTAACATATTTTCACACTTTTTGAATTCATCTAGTAATGGGGAAAGTTACGGAGAGATGGTTTCATATTAAATGCCTGTTAGGTAGTATTTTTACACTATTCCTAATAAGTTAATACATTAAATCCTGACAAATTTTTTTTATAAATCGTCCTTGTAGGATAGGCGAAAAATTAGCATTGAAGATGTCAAAGTAAATAACTTCACTTCACTACGTAATTCTCCATTTGAAGGGGACCTACCATATATTCTTATAGCTCTCAAAATGTGTCCTGCCACTTAAATAATTTAATATGTTACTACATTTATTAGACATATATTGTCTCTAGATGCATGATGAAAATAATCAATGATTTCATAGCTTAGCCTTAGTTTGGTATACTGTTAAGTGATAAAAAGTTGATATAATTATGTCTTAAATTGTTATGAAATCACTTAACTTATGTTCATTATAATATATTTTTCTCTCAATATAGGATGAATTCGAGAATACCTTGATACAAGAGTAAGAAGCATAATTTTCAGCATAATTGGAGTAAAACTGCAAGAAAGAAGAGTGTTTAAGTGAATAAATCACTACAAGAAATATTAAAATTACGACGGTCAAAATCCGTCGGTAATAACAAAAATCCGTCGGTAAATGAATATTACAGACGGAATTCGACGACCAAAAATCCGTCGGAAATTCGCTTGTCGGTAAATATGATACTGAAATTACCAACGGATTTATCCGTCAGTAAATATGTTCAAATTACCGACGGATTAGATTCGATCGGTAATAATTTTATTAATTATTAAATATTTTACTTATTTATAACATTATTTTTTTTATAGAACCCCTCCCCTTATATTCTTATTATTTATTATTAATTATTTCTCCATATTATATTTTTATAACTTTGAATTATTGTCAGATTAAGAGAAATGTCATTGGCAGGATTCGAACCCAGATCTGCTAGAGTCAAGGTCGATACTCCAACCACTAAGCTACTAGAATTTCTTGATAACAATTTACAAATAAATTATATTTATATACAAATATACAAATACATTTATATATATTTATATACATTTATATATATTTATATATATTTATATATATTTATATATATATTTTTATATATTTATATATATTTATATATATTTATATATATTTATATATATTTATATACATTTATATATATTTATATATATTTATATATATATTTTTATATATTTATATATATTTATATATATTTATATATATTTGTATATATTTATATATATTTATATATATTTATATATATTTATATATATTTATATATATTTATATATATTTTTATATATTTATATATATTTATATATATTTTTATATTTATATATATATATTATATATTTATATATTTATATATTTATATATTTTATATTTATATATATTTATATATATTTATATTTTATATTTATATATTTATATATTTTTATATATTTATATATTTTTATATATATATATATATATATATTTATATATATTTATATATATATATATATTTATATATTTATATATAATTAAATATTTATTTTTAAAATTACTTAATTTAATAAATTATTATAAATTAATCTAATTATGATTAAATTAAATTATTAAATAAAAAATATTTTATTTTTTAATTAGTGAATAATTAAATTATATTATATAAATTTACAGACAGATTTATCCGGTCGGTAAATAATTTTTAATTTATATATGAATTTACCGAAGCGGATATATCCGTCGGTAATTACTTGTTAATTTATCGGACGGATTTCCGTCGGTAAATTCATCTATAAGTTACAGACTGATTTATCGACGGATATATCCGTCGGTAACATCAAATTTCACAAATATTTTATATCCGTCGGTAATTTCCGTCGGTAATGATTATTTTCCGACGGCTACAATTCCATCGGTAAATATCCGTCGGTAATACGCGATTTTCTTGTAGTGAATGATGCGAGACCCGACCTAAATTCTCTTATAAAAAGATAAGTTGTGTTTTGAGAAAAAACAGTCTTGGAGGAGAGGAGACACGATTACTGTTAGGGTTTTGTCTAATCTTCATCAATTCTTCACTTCTTCATCAATTGGAGCATTGTAATGACCAACATGAGTGGCTAACTTCATTTTCTGAGGATTCGGTGCACTTCCTTTGAACTCTTTTGTATCATGGTGATATTTTGAGATATTAATCTATGCTTTGATGTTGTTATGCTTTGGAATGATTTATTCTTGATTGTGTTGAGGTATGATTGGAAAATATATCTTGAACCCTAGATCACGGTAAGAATATTTGTCACGTTAATTGCCAGGAATGGAATGAATGTATCAATTGCTTAACACTCTAACCCTAATGCTGGAAAATCTGTTAATTGTGTGAGGAATCAACATTTATTAGGTTTTCTTATGAATTTCATGTGTGAGGAATCAACATGGATGATTTGAGTAGGTGACATCAACATTGTTAGGTTAATTGACGTTCTTAATTGATTTAACCATTACAAAAGAGGGATAAGGAAGGAAGTCAATCCTAAGTACCTTTAATTGATATTTTCTCAACAATTTACATTTCTTTGTCATTTTATTTCAATTCAACTCTTATTTGCAAAATTCAATCTGTTTAATCTACTTAGTAAGCATAATTGAGAATTTCTATTGAACCTGTTCCTCGTGGGATCGACTTTTATTTTATCGAAATACTATACTGCGATTGATAATTTTGGTATGCTTGCCAATAATTCAACATATACCCTATCAAACATATTGTCGCTGAACATGAATAAGATCACACTAGGCCAAATTATCATGATTCAATTAAAAAAAACAACAAATATTCAATTAAAAAAAACAACAAAGTGAAGCAACATGTATCATTCAGAAAATCATCAGGGTTGCCATTATATCTTTTTATGTGACAAAAATAGGTAAGGTGAACATTAACTGCATAATAACCACTATTTTGGTTAGCAATATAAACACACAGAAGAATATGTAAATGCTAAAATGATATATAACATAATACTAACTGCAGTCACATTTTTCATAACTCACAAGAGGATTATATGGTATAATTCCAATACCAAGTTCCTGTACCAATATAATCATTACAAAATTAAAGTTAGATAAGATTATAACACAAAAATACAATCATTACATTTTTCGTAACTAAATTATTTTCTTTCCCCTAGTCCTTTCTAGTAGATTATTTTCTTTCCCCTAGTCCTTTCTAGTAGAGTTGCAATATCATGAACTTGAACAAGAAATTGAATTAACTTGTTTATTGGGGTCATCACGTCACAAGTCAATAGAGATCCCGCTATTTGCACAACTATGATGGGATTCATGTTTGAGTTCAAGATCATATAAGTTTGAGGTCGTTCGAGTTAGGTTTGAGATCTCCTAGGCTTCAATTGGGTTCAAGGTTGTTGAGATTTGGGTTGGGGTTAGAGTTTGATGTTGTCGGTACTGGGATTTGGGTTTGATGTTGTCAACAATAGGTTGAGGTTCAAATTTGTCAGGAATGGGGTTGGGATCGAGGTCGTTAGATTTTTGGTTAGGGTTAGGGTTCGTTGTGGTTAAGGTTGGGTTCAAGTTCACTACGATTGGGATGGGGTTTGAAGTTGCTAGTGTTTGGGTTAGGTTTGAGGTCATCGGGTTTGAGTTGGTATTGAGGTTCAAGTTCGTCGGGGTTGAGGTTGAAGTTAGAGTTCGCTGAGGTAGGGTTGGGGTTCAAGATCACTTTGGTTTCACTTTGGTTTTGAGGTTGTGGAGTTGGGTTTTCAAGTTGTCAAGGTCAGGGTTTAAAGTCACATGGGTTAGGGTTCAAGGTTGTTTTGTTGGGGTTCGACTTTTTTGAGTTAGGGTTTAAACTTGAGTTCACATGATTTAGGATTAGATGCTAAATCTGATTTTAGAAAATTTTTAATGAAAATCTAATATATAAAATAGTTGAAATTTAAAAAAGGCACAACATTAACTTACATTAATTGTTTTTTGAAAAAACTGACAAGAAAAACTTGGTTTTGAAAAAAAAAAGTTAATAATTTTGAAGTTATTTAAGTGATGAAGTTTCCAAATGTGATCTATGAATTTATTGAGTAAAATTGGAAATATGTTGAATATATATTTAAATATATTTAAAATTTATTTAAATATGATTTATTTTTAGTATTTATAAAATAGATTAATTTTTAAATTTTCTAGCGATCTATTTTTAATCTTTGTTATTAATTATGTTAAAAATGAAAAATATTAATTAGTATACTTAAACTAAAAAATATTTTAACTAAAGATAAAATATATTTTTATAAATAATTTAATTAAATAATATATTTATTATCTAATGTATATTAATATAAATTTTTTTCGGTATATCAATTATATATCAATTATATGAAAACAACCATGGTTAAGTAATTAATAATAATAAAACAATAAATTTAAAAATTAGATTAAAAATAAAGTATTATAAAATAAAATTGTAATAATTTGATTGAAATTGTAATTTTTTAATTAATTAAGTTAATGAGGAATTAAAATGTGATAATTTGATGTGTTTAATTTTTTTAATATAAATTTTTAAAATATAATTTAATTTCAATTGAAATGTTCAATTGAAAAATAAATTAAAGAATATTTGTTATTAAACTTTTCTTAAACAATGTATTGAATAATTAATATCACTCTAGTCTTAATTTATTACAATTTAAATTTTAATAAATTTGATTTATTTTTAATAATATTTTTATTTTAGTAATTTAAAATTAAAGTTAATCTTCATTTTGTTAATATTGAGACCAAAGTTTATTTTTAAAGTATATTTTAAAAATTAAATTATTTTTAAAAAATAAATTACTTTTAAAAAATAAATTGTAAAAAATATACTAAAACAATTAAAGTATATTTATAAAAAAATAAATTTAAATATAATAAAAAAATAATGTTCATTAGCTATCGATTTCAATTCGATTAGTATTTTAATTTGTAATTCGGTCGCTAAATGATTTTTTTATTTTAGTATGGAATAACCAACGATTTAGCGACCGAAATTTTGCGACGCAAACTATCGGTCGCTAAATAAAAAAGTGAAACCAAATCATATTTCGGTGGCTAAATCGGTTACTAAATAAAAAAGTGAAACCAAATCATATTTCGGTGGCTAAATCGATCGCTAAATTGCGACCATATTAAATCGGTCGCTAAATTGTGACTATATTAAATCGGTCGCTAAATCAGTTACTAATTGTAACTGAATCTAATCGGTCGCTAAATCGGTCGATAATTGTGACCAAAATTAAATTAGTCGCTAAATTAGTCGCTAATTGCGACCGAAAAAATTCGGTCTCTAATTTCGATCGCTAAAAGTGTTTTTTCTTGTAGTGTATGACGAACTTGACTAATTTCATCTTTTCTCATTAGCTTTATATTAGACAAAAAATTTATTACAATGTACTCAACAAACTTTATCTTTTTACACTAGCATCCTACTAGGTGAAAATTTGTTATGACAAGATAAGGAAACTTCATCCTTTTGTTATGAAGAAATCAGATTGGATCCTTCACACTAGCTCCTTTCTAAGCAACAAATTTATTATAAGGATATCAATAAATTTTGTCCTTTCACACTAGCTTACTATTAAGAAAGTAATTTATTATGACGAGCTCAACAAACTTCATCAATTCATACTAGTTCCCTCTAGTAATTTTCTTTTATGGTGAGTTAGCCCTTTCTAATTTATATGCTTCATTAGGTAAAAAGTTAATTCTATAGATAGTCTTAATTTAGGATTAGCTTTCCTTCCATGGTTTCTCCCACCTTTCTATAAATTGTCAACTATTTTGTAGTGTATTATATATTTGTAGTATATTTGTATTATATTAAAGAAATATTGAATAAATATTAGTACTAATATTTTATACCATGTTGATCATAGTAAGGTAGTATGGTAATTATATTAATATTAAAATATTTATATTGTTTGAGATTTTTGGTATTTTTTCTATCTACTAGGATTCCTTTAAAATCATAACTACCTTTAATTTTGGTAATCATTCATATATAAAACTATAAGAATATTTGAATGATATTAATATTTCATAATTACAAATTGGAAAAAATTATTAAATGTCATAACAATTTTATATAACAAATTTATATCCCAAATGTTAGGCATTAAACAATAAAAAATATTATCTCACAACATAAACACATCCACAAAAATAATTAAGGTGGTTTAATATTTCACCCCACAACACAAAATGTTTTATTACTCAACGAGTGTCATTTTTGATAAAGACAAAATTTGAAACTCTCTCAAGTATAAATTTTTTTATAAAGTATAATTTTTTACAAAGATAAAATTGTATAATTTTAAATACAAAGACAAAATTGCATGTTTTTAAACACAAGGACAAACTTACGACTTTTTTTCATAAATAATACTGTTTTCAAAAATATTTACCAAAATAGCACCTCTGCAACTTTATTTACACAACTAGCACCATTTACTGTTCACGTAATAAAATAATATTATTTCGCGCAACTGTTTACTGTTCACTATATTAAAATAATATTATTTCGCGTACTGAACTCTCGCTCAAGCGAAGAAAACCTTCGCTTGAGCGAGGAAACCTGTAACAAAGGGGTAATCTGGAGTAAATTCTCGCTCAAGCGAAGGTTTTCTCGCTTGAGCGAAAAGTATGATCGACTATTATCCAATTATAGTCGATCACTTTGACATATATGACTTTAGATAGCGGTTATTTGTCCAACCGCTATCTAAACTACTACATTAGAAAGCGGTTAAAGCCTAACCGCTATCTAATATATAATTTTAAAAGCGGTTGTTATCAACCGTTATCTAAGGTGACTCAAGCGAAAAACACATCGCTTGAGCGAGGACACCTGGAAAAATGGGCGTCCTCATCCTTCCAATGCCACCTATGACTATAGAAGAAGTAATTCCGCGGACAAAGAAATGGTGGCCACCTTGGGATTCAAGGAAGCAATTGAGCAGCATTTATTGTGAAACCGGTGGAGTAGCTCAAACTTGTGATAGACTTGGGAAGATTCTAGGCTGATGCAGGTGGAGTGCTTACATCTAAGCTGCGAGGAAGACATTATTCGATATTGTCGTGGGTTAAATCTTGTGTGGATTGGCAAATTCAAGCTGGGTCTGTAGAGCACGAACAGTTGGAACTCATTTTAGGCTACCCTATTAATCACACTCGTCTTCGTCGGGGACAATTTGGCCGAAAGGCTTAGATCATGAAATACTGCTTCCGGACGGACACATTGGGGTATCACCTTTACGTGTTAAAGCCCATCTTCCCTCGTGGATTGACAATGTTGTCACTTTTTAGTGGTATTGGTGGGGCGGAAATTGCCCTACACCGGCTTGATATTAAAATAAAAGTCTGTTGTCTCGGTTGAGACTTCGCGCCAAATAGAAAGATTCTTGAGAGGTGGTGGCGTCAATGCGGGCAAGTCGGGACTTTGGTTCAGATTGAAGACGTTCAAAAGCTGACTAGTAAAAAACTTGAGGGTCTAATCGAGTAAATTTGGATGTTTTGACCTGGTCATCTATCAGAACCCATGCTCTTACTCAAGTTCGGGCTACAAGCAGGTGTAGGTCTCTCAGCTCTTGCTTTTTCAGTATTTTAATCGATACAAACTTCTTTTAATCGATTAAAACCACTTTGGAAGTCAGGATGATCGATCAGAATGAAATTATGACCGATCAGAGTTGGTTATGATCGATCAGAATTGAATTATGACCGATCAGACCTATTTCAATCGATTAAAACGAATTTCAATCGATTAAAATGACTTGAAAATTTTTGTACAGAGTTTCAATCGATTAAAATGCATTTCAATCGATTAAAATAACTTGGAAAATCTTTGTACAGAGTTTCAATCGATTAAAACGCATTTCAATCGATTAAAATAACTTGGAAAATCTTTGTACAGAGTTTCAATCGATTAAAACGCGTTTCAACCGATTAAAACAACTTAGAAAAATTCTGTGCAGGTTTTTAATCGATTAGAACTTCTTTGTATCAGTTAAAATAACTTGAAAAACGCGTTTGAAACATTGAGAGCAGAAGAATGGTGAAGCTTGCAAGTGTGAAGCTGCAACTCCAACTGCAAGTTCTTCTTCCTCTCATTTTCCAGTGCAGCCCTCAGCCTAGAAATCTCCTTGTGCTCTTCACCATGATCAGCAGCAGCAGCTACTTGATGATCACTCTCTTCTTCTCCTTGTATCGTTTTCACCAGAAACTTCACTTCCAACAGCTCTTGTTCCAAGCTCCCTTTCAACACATTCAGAGTCGCCAACATCTTTTCCTTCTTCACGCCACCACCACCCGCTATGCTTGCTGTCTGCTGCACCACCACCAACATAAACATGCTCCCCCATTTGTTGGGTACCCGCTTCCCTTCCAAACGCAACCTCTTTTGCCACCGCATCATCGTTTGGGAACACGGGATCAAGCTCCAACCCGTCTTGGTTGAAGTTCCACCGCTGATCCTTCTCTCCTTCACCGAGCATGGCGGGGTCTTCTTCATCATCATCATCATCATGCTCCCCCTCATCTGCATGCTCATTAACCTTGTTATCCTTATACCTTTTCTCCACACTTGGGCAACCCTTGGAGAACGTTCCTCACCGAGAAAATCGGTTCCCTTACAGTTTTTAAAGAAGGGGTGTTTCGACGAACTTATCAGCTGTGGGTCTTTTGGAAGGATCTTGGTCTAGACAAGAAGCCACCATGTCCTTGAACGCCTTAGAGAACTTCTTTCCATTCCCCTTTCTATACTTATCAAAATCGGAGAAACGAAATCGCTTGGTGATCTTGAGCATCATGGACTTGGAAGGTGGAAGGTGAGAGAGAGGAGGCCTTCCATGCGCCAGCTCCAAAGCTGTTCTCGCTCAAGCGATGTGTTTTTCGCTTGAGTCACCTTAGATAGCGGTTGATCACAACCGCTTTTAAAAATATATATTAGATAGTTAGGCTTTAACCGATTTCTAATGTAGTAGTTTAGATAGCGGTTGGCCAAATAACCGCTATCTAAAGTCATATATGTCGAAGTGATCGATTATAATTGGATAATAATCGATCATACTTTTCGCTCAAGCGAGGGTTTCTTCGCTTGAGCGAGAATTTACCCAGATTACCCCTTTGTTACAGATTTCCTCGCTCAAGCGAAGGTTTTCTTCGCTTGAGCGAGAGTTCAGTACGTGAAATAATATTATTTTAATACGTGAACAGTGAACAGTTGCGTGAAATAATATTATTTTAGTACGTGAACAGTAAATAGTGCTAGTTGTGTAAATAAAGTTGCAGAGGTGCTATTTTGGTAAATATTTTTGAAAATAGTATTATTTATGAAAAAAAGTCCAAACTTACAAGGACAAAATTTTTTACTCAACCGTCTCAAAAACACGAATTTATTGATTTGTGGTGAAAAACACTGGACTAAAGAAGACTTTTTTGTCAAGATTTTTTTGTATAATAGTCTTTATAAGATTTATAATTATTTTGAAAATTAAATATTGAATTTCTTATAATAATATAATAATTGATAATATTGCATGTTATCTAAAGATTTTTTTTTCAACAAATATTTTTTTATATAAAATATAATTAATAATAGTTATAAATTTAACATTATGTAGTCACATTTTGCATGATTAATGAAAAAAGTAATAATAAAAAAATCAAGAACGTGTTTCTCAAGGAAAAATAAATTATTTTATATTTATACATTTCATATTATCATTTCTAAATTTAATATTATTTAATCACATTTTACATATAATTAAAATATTTTGTATTTATCCATCTCATCCCATCATATATATGGAATGATGCAAAGTAATGACATTATTGTGTCAAAATATAAATTCATTTAATAAAGATATTTACATGATAATTTATTTTAAAGAAGAAAAAATATTTATGATATAATATTTTATTTAATAAAACACGATGAAATAACGTAATAATATGACTTCCAAAACAATATATCAAACTTTGAATAATATATCCTATTTTAAAATCATCATGAAATTTGTATGAGTAATGGAATAAAATAGAAATAAAAATTGCCTTTAAATTGTATTTTTGTCTAACAATAATAATTTGTAACACATTAAAATATGAGGACTCTATTATTTAAAATTATCGGAAATAAAGTACTGACACTTTGTAAGTTTATATAATTGAAACATCATGTTTTCTATATAACTCAAGTAATATTTTTTTTTCTAAATACTAAGATGAGACATAACCAAAACATTTTTTTCCAACTTAAAGTTATCGAATTTAAATTTGTTATAACTCATCCATTTTTGTTTATATCATATAGTTTCTTCTCTTGATATTATAACCAATTGTTCCTTTTAAATGAATTTCTTTAAGATAAAGAGTTAAATTAAAAAATTACCACATGGAAACAAGTTGTTATTGTTTGAAAAACCAATAATATATTAAAAATAAAAAAAACAATTAAGTCTGAATCAAGATTTGAAGTATAAAAAATATTTAAATATTTTATTTACACTACAAGAAAAAACACATTTAGCGACCGATTTAATTTTAGTCGTATTTAGAGACCGATTTAGCGACCACTTTAATTTCGTCGCAATTAGTGACCGATTTAGCGACCACTTTAATTCGGTCGCAATTAGCGACCGATTTAGCGACCAAAATATGATTTGGTTTTCACTTTTTTATTTAGCGACTGAAATAACGACCAATTTTTGTGCGTCGCAAATTTTCAGTCGCTAAATCGGTGGCTATTTCATACATAAATAAAAAAATCATTTAGCGACTGATTTAGCGACCGAATTACAAATTGAAATAGCGACCGAATTAAAATCGGTCGCTAATGAGAAAATAATCCATGATTATATCTGATTTTTGCAATATCGCTCAAGCGAAAATAACATCGCTCGAGCGACGCCACCTGCACAAAATTGGTATTCTCGGGTTGTATTTCGCTTGAGCGACACTATTCTCGCTCGAGCGACATCCGATTCAAACATGAGGCACCCAGGTTACATTATCCGGCTAACTTTGATCGACGTTTACGCAGGTCAACATTCGCTCAAGCGAAAGTAACATCGCTCGAGCGACGCCACCTGCACAAAATTGGCATTCTCGGGTTGTATTTCGCTTGAGCGACACTATTCTCGCTCGAGCGACATCCGATTCAAACATAAGGCACCCAGGTTACATTATCCGGCTAACTTTGATCGACGTTTACGTAGGTCAACATTCGCTCAAGCGAAAGTAACATCGCTCGAGCGACGCCACCTGTGGAACCGCTATCATATAATAACATTCGCTCAAGCGAAAGTAACATTCGCTCAAGCGCTCAAGCGAAAGTAACGTTTACGCAGGTCAACATTTGCTCAAGCAAAAGTAACATTCGCTCAAGCGAATGTCACATATAATAGCGGTTCCGAGTGGAACCGCTATCATATACAACTGATTTTTTTATTCGATCGATTAGATTTTCGAAATGATCGATCATATTTGATAATTTTTTTAAATAATTAATTATAATTGATTAGTTTTCTAAATTATTGATTAGAATTGATTAGTTTTTCAAATAATAGATTAGAATTGATTAATTTCTAAAATATATACTAAAAAATTATAATTAAAAATATAAATTATTTAAGAATATTGACTATTGTAAAGATAAAATAGAACATGGGAGGAGATGAGGATGATAATATAATGATAGAACTTACAAAAATGTAGAATTGAGAAGTTTGAAACAAATAAAATTAAGAAAATAGAGATTTAATTACACTTTTAATAAATTTAAGATAATACTAGTTTTGATTTTTATTTTTAAATATTTATTTTAATTATTTAAAACAGAGAAACTATAATATTAGTTTCTAAATACTGAATTTAAAGAATTATATTTATTATTATTTAATCTTTTAATTTTAGTATTAAAAATTTAAATTATATTTTATTAAATTAAAATAATTACAATATATTTTTCTACTTTGAGAATGAACAATATAATTAAACTCAAAATTGACAATATTATAATACATTTTTGAACTCTTTTGGATTAATTTTTTTTCCTAATTTTTGATAAAGTTAATTTTAATATTTAAAAGTATTTAACATTTTGAATTCTGAAAGGTTTTCTCTAATAGCAAATTTAAAAACATAATATTCAAAAAAATAGTTAATGTAAGTTTTCATTATGATATAATAGCGGTTCCACGTTAACCGCTATCTAAAGTATATTTTAGATAGCGGTTAAGGGTTAACCGCTATTAGAAGTGCCCTTTTAATAGCGGTTCAAGTGGAACCGCTATCATATACAACCAGATTTTTTGATTCTGATCGATTAGATTTTCAAAATGATCGATCATATTTGATAATTTTTTTAAATAATTAATTATAATTGATTAGTTTTCTAAATTATTGATTAGAATTGATTAGTTTTTCAAATAATAGATTAAAATTGATTAATTTCTGAAATATATACTAAAAAATTATAATTAAAAATATAAATTATTTAAGAATATTGACTATTGTAAAGATAAAGTAGAACATGGGAGGAGATGATGATGATAATATAATGATAGAACTTACAAAAATGTAGAATTGAGAAGTTTGAAACAAATAAAATTAAGAAAATAGAGATTTAATTACACTTTTAATAAATTTAAGATAATACTAGTTTTGATTTTTATTTTTAAATATTTATTTTAATTATTTAAAACAGAGAAACTATAATTTTAGTTTCTAACTACTTGAATTTAAAGAATTAAATTTATTATTATTTAATCTTTTAATTTTAGTATTAAAAATTTAAATTATATTTTATTAAATTAAAATAATTACAATATATTTTTCTACTTTGAGAATGAACAATATAATTAAACTCAAAATTGACAATATTATAATACATTTTTGAACTCTTTTGGATTAATTTTTTTTCCTAATTTTTTATAAAGTTAATTTTAATATTTAAAAGTATTTAACATTTTGAATTCTGAAAGGTTTTCTCTTATAGAAAATTTAAAAACATAATATTCAAAAAAATAGTTAATGTAAGTTTTCATTATGATCGATTATAATTAGAAATGATCGATCATAATTGAGAAGATATAATAGCGGTTCTACGTTAACCGCTATCTAAAGTATATTTTAGATAGCGGTTGAGGGTTAACCGCTATTAGAAGTGCCCTTTTAATAGCGGTTTCAGTGGAACCGCTATCATATACAACCAGATTTTAAGATTGTGAAGTCTCGGGTTGTATTTCGCTTGAGCGACACTATACTCGCTCGAGCGACATCCGATTCAAACATGAGGTCACCTATGTTACATTATCCGGCTAACTTTGATCGACGGTTAGCAGGTCAACATTCGCTCAAGCGAAAATAACATCGCTCGAGCGACGCCACCTGCACAAAATTGGCATTCTCGGGTTGTATTTCGCTTGAGCGACATGATCTCGCTCGAGCGACGCCACCTGCACAAAATTGACATTCTCGGGTTGTTTTTTGCTTAAGCGACACTGATCTCGCTCGAGCGACACTGATCTCGCTCGAGCGACATCCACATTATTTTATTATGATCGATTACATTTTCAAATGATCGATCATATTTGAAAATATATAATAGCGGTTAATATTTAACCGCTATTAGAAGTGCTATATAATAGCGGTTAAGATTTAACCGCTATTAGAAGTGATATTATAATAGCGGTTAAGATTTAATCGTTATCATATACTACCACATTTTTCACTTTCGTATCTCGCGCCACTTATCCCCAAACAACCCTAACTCTCGCGCCTCACTCACCCATTCCTCTTAACCTTGGCCAATATCTCCTCCTCACTCCCGGCGAGCCCTAGCCCCCTCACTGCTCGCCCCAAGTCAGCCCTCACCCTAATCCAACCTCCACCAAAGCTCCTCGTCAACCGGACGCCACCCTGTGAGCCACCGTGCCACACCTCTGTTCTTAACCTCCTCCGCAGCCTCTAACACCCTCAACCAAGGTTTGACTTGTTTGAATGTATATACTGTTATTCTCTTGCATTGTGAATAATATAGGAGAGATAATTTTGACAGAATTTCTTTATCGTTTGTTATAGGTGGATTTGTGAAGTAGATAGGTTCTTCGATCCCTCTTACTGCGGATTTGGTGGTGCTTGACAGACCAATTTGGGAACTTGTTGAGACTGTACGCCCTCAGGTTAACCATTTGTAATTTGTTTTAATTATCTGTTGGATCTTAGTGAAAAGAATTTTCATAATTATTGGGTTTACTTATACAATTATTTGGTGGTCTGTATCATACGTACTGCATAAGTAGTGGATAAATACCTTGGAAAAAATGTATTAGAAAAACGTAAGTACTGTATCACATGAAGTGAATAATGCAGTTTCACTTATGCTGATTGTTGTAGTTAATTTGCAAGAATAGAAAAACATAAGTAGTGCATCACATAAAGTGAATAATGCAGTTTCACTTCTGCTGATTGTTGTAGTTAATTTGCAAGAATAGAAAAACATAAGTAGTGCATCACATAAAGTGAATAATGCAGTTTCACTTATGCTGATTGTTGTAGTTAATTTGCAAGAATAGAAAAACATAAGTAGTGCATCACATAAAGTGAATAATGCAGTTTCACTTATGCTAATTATAATTCTTTAATATGAAATTTCTTAATAATATCAATCCCAGAATATGTTTCAACACAGGTTTATACCAGCAAATGGTCCTCCTGCTATAATCTCTAGAATCATCAAACAAAAATTTGATGAACCAAGTCCCACTTGGAGAAAGGTTTCACTTGAGCTTCGAGATAGATGGTTTGGAGAGTTCAAGGTAATTTGAATTATAGTTACATTAAACAATGTCATTTCATTCTTATAAATTAAATGTTTGTTGTGTATTTTATTTATGCAGAAAGAGTATATATGGGATGTGGAACAAGAGCAAGCCATAAGATCTGTTTTTGATAAGAAAGGTTCTCGAATTTTAAAAAACTCAATGAACAAAGTTAAGAATGGTAAGGATACGGGAATCTGGATACCGCCAGCTGTTCGAGCATATTAAGACTTTGAATCTTGATTAATTGTTAAGTTCTTAAGTTTCATTTGTGTTATGTTTGGATGAATTAAGCAGGTACAAATTTTATAAAATTGGATATACAAAATTTGACTTTAGTTCTTAAGTTTTCATTTGTGTTATGTTTGGATGAATTAAGCAGGTACAAATTTTATGATTTGAATAATTTGACTTTAGTTCTTAAGTTTTCATTTGTGTTATGTTTGGATGAATTAAGCAGGTACAAATTTTGTCAAATTGGATATACAAAATTTTAAACGAAAATTTTCAGATTTGGTTAGATTAGCGACCGAATTTTTGGTCGCTACAAATTTATTATAATATACAATTCAAATTTAGCGACCGATTTAAATTATTAGTTAAATAATTCAATTAATATATTAGCGACCAATTATATCCGTCGCTATTATTGTTAACTTTGTCTCCAATTTAGTGACCGATTTTAATTTTTATTTAAATAATTATATTAATATATTAGCGATCGAATATCGGTTGCTATTTTTTAAAACTTTACCACGGATTTAGCGACCGATTTAGCGATCAGATTTATTATATTAATTTCGGTCGCTATTTTGGTCTTCAATGAATAAGTGACCAAATTATTTAGCGACCACCACATCGGTTGCTATTTAGCGACCGAAATGTAAATCGGTCACTAACAAATTAGCGACTTGCCCTTTTGTGACCAACCATTTCAGTCGCTAATTTCGGTCGCTAACAGAATAGCGATCGAATTTTGGCCATTAGTGACCGATTTTTTCGGTCACTAATAGCATTTTTCTTGTAGTGTTAGATTGACTTATTTAAACTTATTTATTATTATAAATTTTTTGTTAGAATATTTAGCGTTTCCCATAGAGTCGAGAGCATAGTCTTGTTCCACTCATACCCCTTAATCATCAATTGGAGGCTTATGTTTTGATATACCACGAGTCTCACATTCTTAGCAGTTGAGGTCAATGGTAATTTATATACACTTTTTTCTCTCAATTCATTGAGACGCCTTAAAAGGATAAAACTGTGATTAGCTAGAGCTCAAACAATAACTCAGACATATGAATTAATCCTTACAATATTATCATAACAGACACGACACTTTAAAACAATCATATTTTGTGTAAATGATTTATTCTAAGTGACTTTTCTAAGTCTTGTTTGACATTTTTTCTATTTTTACAGTTATTTGACCATAATGACAATTGTGTCTCGTTCTTATCTTGTAACATGTTTTTGGAACATTAAAAACTCCTTGAAATTAAATAGAGGGGACTAATTTTTTATCCAAATGAATCAAATTTAATTTTCCCATTTTAAAAGTTTTAAAGGATTCAAGAAATAAAAGATTGTAATTTTTCTGGTATTAAGTTGACAAATATAAACTAAAAATGCATTATTTGATTGAACTAATTCTCATTTTTTTAAAATTTGATAAAATGATTTAAAAATAAAAATAAAAGACTCTTGATTTATATGATAGAAAAAGTTTTACTTTGTCCTACCGTATTTTTGAAAAAAATTAAAATAATAAATAAGTTTAGAGGTTCCTCTGAACAAAGATCACTTTGAGATTTACATAAAAAAAAATAGAGATAAAAGTATGTTAATGATAATCAAATGCGAAGTAAAATACTCTATTTATATTTTTCTTACATATTTTAGATAATAAATTATATCTATTTTAAGGTTATTTAATAAGATTCTCTTATTGATAAGTGATAGTTATTTGTTAAAAAAAAATATTTTTAATTTTAGTTATTAAAATATTATATAATAAAAATTATTATATAAATGAGGTTTTTGCTGTATATTATCTCAAGATATTTTTAAAAAATAAAATTAGAATGGATGTGAAATTAAGAAATTCCCACTTATAGATGAAATATATATTTATAAAAACTATTTAGAAAAATGTTTGGAAGATAAAATAAAAACAACAAAATACAAATACTTTATATTGGTTATATTTAAGCTATACTTAATTCCTACCATTAAGATATAAAAGTATGTTATACATTTAATAAATTTTTTATCTCATCCATTTCAAACAAAACAAAACTTGTAATTTCATTTTCATTCTATAGATAAATTTCAACTTTTTTTTTACATATTTCGTTTTCTTCATTATTATTAATGTAATGAAACAGCGCAGAAATTGTTAATTTATATATATATATAGCTTTCTTCGTTTATTTATTTATTTTGAAATGGTATAGTTTGAATTGATGAATTCAGTATCCTTTCTTTTGAACTTTCTTATAAATGTTGGCTAAGAAAGAAAAGTTCTTCGTTAACTTCACACCATTAATTTATTCCAACACTCGTTATCACTGGTCTCTCTTCCATTTAGGTCATCGCTGCGTGCAAAGAAAAACCAAAATTTCAAGTATAAAAGTAATGAAGAAACCCTGCAGTAATAGTTCCTTGCAAAAGCATATCTTCTAAATTTTTTATTATAGGAAATGAAACACTTGAAACTGTGCAGGGTGTTAATGTTTGAGTTAGCCCTCACCATGGTAGTAGTAGCTCTTGCACTTCTACCTCACCAAACCCTTTCTTCATCACTGAACCAAGCCCTACCTGGCTGCAAATCCAGTTGTGGAAATGTCGAAATTCCATATCCATTCGGTATAGAACACTCATCTGCATCCGATCAACGATCTTGTTTTCTGGAGAAAAAAATTGGTCTTGCTTGCAGCAGCAACTCCATATTAACATGGGGTAACGTCCAAGTGTCAAACATAAGCGTCCAAGCTCATCAAATGGACGTTTTGTTTAACGTCTCATGGTTTTGTAATATAGAAAATTATGCGAACTACTGGCTGGAAACAGCATCTTTCAGTATTTCAAGCGAGAAAAACAAGTTCGTGACCGTTGGATGCGACAGTTATGGCTATCTCAATAGCGTTTTCGGTGAGAAGACATACTCCACAGGGTGCTTAACAAGATGTTATAGCAGCATAGAAGATTCTCTGATTGAAAACGGAACATGTTCGGGTATAGGGTGTTGCCAGGTAGATATTCCTCCTGGAATGCAGAATATCACTGTAGAAGCATCTAGCTTCCCCAATTCAACAAATTATTTGGGCTGCAGCTATTCCTTTGTTGTCAAACAAGACTCTTACAAATTTTCTGTGACTCATTTACGAAAATTCCCAAACGAAAGCCTCCCTTTGGTCCTTGATTGGACTGTGGGAGACCAAAACTGTGGTGCTTTTGAGAGTAGTAGAGCCAAATATGCGTGTAAGGATAATACGTATTGTGATGACAAGGGCACTGATTCTGGATACCGATGCAGATGTAAGGATGGCTATGAAGGAAACCCATATATTGGCTGCACAGGTAATTTTATTTAAACCCCCCAAACATCTTTTTACATATCTCCTTTTTATAACTTCAGACTTTTGCTGTAATTTACCAATGTTTTCTTTTTTTCTAGTTCGATTCATTCATGTAGCAAAAGATGGTGAGATGTGCACAAAGGACTGAGAAACAAGGAAAATAAAATATATGACAAAATTGTAGTATATATAAACCACTTTTATAAACTTGAGTTAACTTCAAATTCGTTTTTTAATATAATATTATAATTTATCTTAACCAAATTTGTTGAATTTACTATGTCAGTCATTATCAAACCTTCATATATATTCATAATTTGGTTTTTAAAATTGAATTAGTGCGTATCCACTTTTAATAGATTTAGGAAACTAGTTGATTTCGTAGGAATTAGCCAACTATGACACAAATATTTAATCAGTTTGACAGCATATAGTTACTTCTGTTACGCACTTGCAGATATTAATGAATGCATGCCGGGAAAACATACATGCCTAAGTGATAAGAATTGTCGCAACATCGATGGGAATTACACATGTTTCTGTCGTAAGTGGCAATCAGGAAATGGAAGAAAAGAAGGAGGCTGCCACGTACATACAATGGTTTTCGTTGGTAACCATTTAACCGATCAATTTATATTATTTTATTCTTTTTGTTTCTTTAACTTGAACCCTTTTGTTGCTTGTATATGCTAATTGTTCAGGAATTAAGATCAAATCATTTTAAATGCAGGAGCGGGAGTAGGATTTGCAATTCTATTTTCGGGGATAGCCATGCTGTACTTAATATACCAGAAAAGGAAGCTCAGTAAACTAAAAGAGAAGTTCTTTCAGCAGAATGGGGGTTTGATTTTGCTACAAAAACTTTCTGGAAGAGAAAACACTTCTCAAACCGCTCAACTTTTCACAGAAGAACAACTAAAGAAGGCCACTAACAACTTTGATGAGAGCTTAATCATTGGCAAAGGAGGTTTTGGTACGGTTTTCAAAGGATTTCTGGCAGATAACAGAATTGTAGCTATCAAGAAATCCAAAATAGTTGATGAGAGCCAAAAGGAACAATTCATTAACGAGGTGATTGTTCTGTCTCAAATCAATCATAGGAATGTGGTCAGACTCTTGGGATGTTGCTTGGAAAGAGAAGTTCCTTTACTGGTTTATGAATTTGTTACTAATGGCACCCTTTTTGATTTTATACACACCGAAAGAAAGGTAAATAATGAAACTTGGAAAACCAGACTAAGGATAGCAGCAGAAGCAGCTGGAGCTCTAGCATACCTTCACTCTGCAGCCTCAGTACCCATTATCCACAGAGATGTCAAGACTGCTAACATACTCTTGGATGACACTTACACTGCCAAAGTTTCCGATTTTGGAGCTTCAAGATTGGTTCCACTTGATCAAACTGAAATAGCCACCATGGTGCAAGGAACTTTTGGTTACCTGGATCCAGAGTACATGCTTACAAGCCAACTAACTGAAAAAAGTGATGTCTATAGTTTCGGAGTAGTGCTTGTTGAGCTTCTAACAGGGGAGAAACCTCATTCTTTTGGGAAGCCAGAAGAGAAAAGAAGTCTTGCTAACCACTTTCTGTCTTGCTTGAAAGAGGATCGCTTGTTTGATGTTCTTCAAGCCGGCATAATGAATGAAGAATGTTGGGAAATAAGGTCGGATAAGATGGAATAATAATAATACACCAATGTGAGATCAATAAAAGACACGAATATTTGTTAACCCAGTTCGGATTAAATCCTACATCTGGGGGCGAACCAAGCCAGGAGAATGAACTAGAATAAGAGGATAAACCGAATGTTACAACTCACACAAGCCCGTATGAATACACTCTCTCTACTCTTTCTTCACACTTAGATTGGATACAAATGAGGTTACAAAATGAGGTATTTATAGCCAAACAAATCCTTCTTGAGAGGAAGTTGAGAGGAAGCTCCCTTCCTTTGACCAGGAAGTTGCAAGGAAGTTCCCTATCTTTGACCGATCTTTACACCTCAACAATCTCCCACTTGAAGATTGGTCAACCTGTTTATCTCTGCTCTTGGTTCTGCTAAGTCTGCCTGTTTTAATCATCAAGGCCAGTCGAAGCTACACACAGCTTCAACTTTTCCAAAGTTACCGCCTTGGTCAACATGTCTGCAGGATTCCTATCTCCCCGAACCTTTTTCAGCTGCAGCATCTTCTTCTCTAGAAGTTGCCGGATGAAATGATACTTAACCTCGATGTGCTTCGTTCGCGAGTGAAACGCGGGGTTCTTTGCCAGATGGATTGCACTCTGGCTATCGCTGTATAGAGCCACATCCTCTTGAGGTCTCCCAAGTTCATTCAAGAAGTTTTGCAGCCAAACGAGCTCCTTGGCTGCCTCCGTCACTGCCACGTACTCAGCTTCCGTTGTGGACAATGTGACTATCTTCTGCAGCTTTGAGATCCAGGATACGGCCGTCCCGCCGTAAGTGAATACGTACCCAATAGTACTCCTCCTCTTGTCAAGATCACTTCCTGCAAAATCAGCATCGACATACCCGGACGGGGTAAGGGTACCCCTGCCAAATACTAATGCCCGGTCCTTAGTACCCCTCGGGTACCTAAGGATCCACTTTACCGCCTCCCAGTGCATCACTCCGGGATTGCTCATGAACCGATCGACTACTCCCACTTGCATGTGCTATGTCCGGCCGGGTGCGGACCATAGCGTACATTAGGCTCCCGATAGCCGAAGCATACGGCGTAACTCTCATCTTTTCTTTTCGGAGTCATCCTGGGGCGAATCCTTGTTGGACAACTTGAGCTGGCTTCCCAATGGCACTCGAACCGACTTTGCAATATTCATATTGAATCTGCACAACACCTTCTCAATATAATCAAATTGAGAAAGCCAAAGTTTACCAGCATTTACGTCCCTCGTGATTTTCATGCCCGATGTCTGTCTCGCTTCTCCTAGATCCTTCATATCAAATCTCCTTGATAGGCTGATCTTTGAGCCTCTCGATCTCCTTGACATCTGATCCTGCTATCGGCATGTCATCCACATATAGCGATAAAATAATGAAAGAGTTACCGAACTTCTTCACATAGCAACAATGATCGGCATTACACCTGGAGTATCCTATCTCCAGCATGAAATTATCGAATTTTCGGTACCATCTGTCGAGGAGCCTGTTTCAGTCCGTACAAGCTCTTCTTTAGGCGACGAGACCTGCTGATCATTTCCTCTATATCCCTCTCGGTTGCACCATGTAAATTTCCTCCTCGAGATCCCCATGCGGAAAGGCCGTCTTCACATCTAGCTGTTGCAACTCCAAGTTTTCCGCCGCTACGATGCTTAACACTAAACGTATAGTGGTTAACTTAACAACAGGTGTAAAAACATCGGTAAAGTCAATACCGTATCTCTGTTGGAATCCCTTTACTACAAGTCCGGCCTTGTACCGTTTTGTTCCATCCGATTCCTCCTTGACCAGATAGACCCATCTGTTTTGAAGAGCCTTCTTTCCTTGTGGGAGATCACACAAATCCCATGTGTGGTTCTTCTTCAACGAGTTCATCTCGTCTTCCATCGCAAGCTCCCACTTGCTCTTGTGGGCATCTTTAACCGCCTCTGCATAACGGTCGGGTTCCCAGAATCGAGATAAAAGTAGGTAATAAAGAGAAGGGGAGTACCTATCCGGGGACCTTCTCATCCTCGGTTCTCGGCCCGGTGCGGAGGCGTGCTTGCTCTCGGCAATCGGTTCATCCGATTCTGGTTCTGCCTCTTCTTACGTACGCTCGATCTCATCTATCTGAGCTCCCACTGTATCTGTTGGTCTCATGATTCCGGTATTTGAAATATCGAGACCAACATACTCCTGCATGGTCTTGTCATCGTCCAGGTATTCCTTCGGTCCTTGTACATTATGCCTTCATTGAACACCACATTACGATTGCGAATAATTTTCCGATTTTGATCATCCCAAAATCTATACCCAAATTCGTCGAGTCCCATATCCAATGAATGTACATTTGACGGACTTAGCATCCGAGCTTTGTCCGGTCGTCATTCAAAACGTAAGCCAAACAACCAAAGGTACGTAAGAAGAGAGATCAACTTTCTTACCACTCCAGACCTCTTCGGAATTTTGTTGTTCGATGGGACAGAAGGCCCCGGTTGATCAAGAAAGCGGCCGTGCTTGGCCTTACTGCCCAAAACATCTTGGGCGGTCCACTCTTCAATCGCATGCATCTCGCACGCTCATTCGGTGTTCTGTTCATCCTCTCGCAATGCCATTTTGTTGAGGTGTCCACTGGGACCGTCTTACGCATCCGGATCCCATGATCGGCGCGAGTATTCTTTGATGGCTTCAGCTGTTGTACTCGCCACCGTTGTCGGATCCGAGACATTTCACTTCCGAGCACTGTCTCTTTCTCCACGAGTGCTCTCCATCTCCTGAAAGTATCAAAGGCTTCGGATTTTCTTTTCAGAAAGTACACTCATACCTTTCTTGTGCAGTCATCGACGAACGTCATGTAGTACATCGATCCTCCAAGAGATGTCACCGGTCTTGGCCCCCATAAGTCGGTGTGCACTAGCTCCGGTTTTTCGTCTTTGGAGCTCTTCAGGTGGTTATGAAGCTCACTCGCTTCTGCTTTCCAAGCACGCATTGCTCGCGAGACCCACGTCCACTGACTCCAACTCGGGCAAAAGTCCTCTCGACTTTAGTACCTTCATTCCTTTTTCGCTCATGTGGCCCAGGCGACTGTGCCATAAGTGCGATTGTGAGACAACGCCTGCCAGGAGAATGTTTGAGCTGGATCTACTCGCCGTGTAAAGCGTTCCTGACTTCAGCCCTCTTGCCAAAGTCATAGCTCCTCGGCTGACCTTCCACTTTCAGTCTCCAAACATTGTGTGGAAGCCGTCATTGTCCAGTTGTCCAAGCGAGATGAGATTCCTCTTCGGTCCTGGAATGTGTCTCACATCACGTAGGGTCCAGCATGACCCATTTGCGGACTTGATCCGCACATCTCCCTTCCCTACAATTTTTAGGGATTTGTTGTCTGCAAGATATACCAAGCCAAAATCACCTGCGGTGTATGGCTCCATGATGTCTCGCTCTCTGCATGAGTGAAATGAGGCCCCCGAGTCCACGATCCGAGTCATCGAGCGAGCTTCTCACACTCAACAAGAGTGCATCCGCCGTGTCCTCCGTCGCGGCATTGGCTATCCGACCTTCTTTGTCTTTCCTTGGTGCCGGCATTCGCTTTTCATATGCCCAGGCTTCTCGCGGTTCCAACACACCATCTCTTTCTTGCCTTTATTCCTTCCCCTGGATTTTGACCTCCCACGGATTTTCCCTCGTGTTTCGGGTCTCCCTCCGGACTCTGTATGTAGAGGCTGAGCCAGACGACCCACCCGCTTGATTCTGCGGGTCTCCTCGTTCAACATCATATCTCTTATGTTGTCGAACTTCATCTTCTCCTTGCCGGAAGAAGTGCTCACCGAAGTAACGACCACGTCCCAACTGTCAGGCAATGATGAGAGCAAGATTAGGGCTTTTACCTCATCATCAAACGAAATATCCACCAATGCCAAGCTGCGTAGTGAGTTGGTTGAAATCGTTGAGATGATCGGCCACTGACTTTCGCTCCTCCATTTGCAATTTGAACAGCTTTTTCATCGGCATCACCTTGTTTATTGCTGATGGTTTTTCATACATGTCGGCGAGTATCCGCAAGACCTCCTTCGTGCTTTTTGCTCCCTTCACATGGTAGGCGACGTTCGAGAGAGCGAAAGAATTATAGCACTCATCGCCTTCCGATCGAGCACCTTCCATTCATCATCGCTCATCTTCTCGGGTTTTTCCCCAAGAGGTGCGTAGAGGTCCTTCCCGTATAGGTAAGCCTCCATTTGCATTCGCCGAGAATCCAAAGTCGGAACCATTGAACCGTTCGACTTGAATCTTTCCCTCCATCTTATCTCCAACCTCCTGGCTCGATACCGGTTGTTGGGAAATAAGGTCGGATAAGATGGAATAATAATAATACACCAATGTGAGATCAATAAAAGACACGAATATTTGTTAACCCAGTTCGGATTAAATCCTACATCTGGGGGCGAACCAAGCCAGGAGAATGAACTAGAATAAGAGGATAAACCGAATGTTACAACTCACACAAGCCCGTATGAATACACTCTCTCTACTCTTTCTTCACACTTAGATTGGATACAAATGAGGTTACAAAATGAGGTATTTATAGCCAAACAAATCCTTCTTGAGAGGAAGTTGAGAGGAAGCTCCCTTCCTTTGACCAGGAAGTTGCAAGGAAGTTCCCTATCTTTGACCGATCTTTACACCTCAACAAAGAAAACAAAGATGAGATTATGGAGGTTGCTGTTCTTGGGGCCAAGTGCTTGAGACTGAATGGGGAGGAAAGGCCCAGCATGAAGGAAGTGGCAATGGAATTGGAAGGAATGAAGCTAATGGAGAAGCATCCATGGATCAATACAGACCAAAATCTAGAGGAGGCTCAATACTTGCTTCGTGAGGCATCACCTAGCGTTTATGAGCCTGGAGATAGCAGCAGCCATCAATTTACTGGGGTTGACAGCATTAATGATCATGTACTGATTAATTTGGATGATGGAAGATGATTAATTGTGGCAGGGCAACATACACTCCATTAATGCTGTTTTTACTTACAACCTTTTGTAATCTTTATGAAAAATCCATTAGTTGTTTTCATGCGTTTGCATGTTAGTTTGTATTTATTGAAATATTATACAGAGTGGTTAAAGGCCTTAATTATGTAGGGATTCAAACTTCAATCATGTCATGATCTACGCTTCTTACAATTACTCTTTGGATATGAAAATTGTTACATGCATGAAGTATGCAAGACTAAACTTTGTAATTGGTGCGATGAGAACCTAATAATACGTGACTTGAAATTCTAAACAACAATTACTTGAATATTCTCTTATACCATCTTCAAATCGTATTGATATCTAACCTAACTCCAAAAACTAGAAAAAGAAAATTAGAATTATCCTACTTACATATGTTTTACAGCTCCAATACGCTTTCCTTATAAGAATAAACTATTCTAAGGGTAAAATTTGTAAGGGTGAACATTTAGAAGATTTTGTTAATCCAAGTTCAACCCTCCTTGTCTCCTTTATTTTCATTACATCATTAATTAATACGAAAACATTATTAATATTTACTTTTCTTTTTTATTTATTTTTAAATATTATTATACAGATTATATATCATTTTTGTATAATTATAAAATATTTTAACTTTTTAATAATTTAATTATATATATATATATATATTTTTTTTTATATCAAATATTTCATTTATATTTTTATCTCTTACGACATAATTAATTTGTAAGACTAAACATTTATAGATGATATGATTATTTGACAGGTCCAATAATAATTAAAATAAAAGAATGATTTTTGTCATCTTAAAATTTGAGTTTAGACATATTTTAATATCAAAAGATAACTGAAGATGTGAAAGTTTCACTACTTTTATATTATATTTTTTATTAGTTAATGGTTAATTTGATTAACTTAATTCCTAAGATCATCTAAAGAGGTGGGGATTAGTGTCACTTATATAATCTATTTTAATCATACCTTAACTATGTGATAATCATACCTTTAATTATGTGAGGTCTATAAGACACCCATCACTCCCAGAACTACATATCTCAATATAATGTTTATAGGGTCTAACTTAACACCAAAAACTAAATAAAAATGGTGAGGGTTGCCATCAAATTTTATTTACCCTATTTTGGTCATACCATTATTAGATTTGCCATAATGGGTTACTGATATTCCCAATTATTAGATTTGTTAACTAGAGCAAGTCGTTATCGTTTATTTGCCATAATTTTTGGAATGTCAGTTTATATATTTATTGGGTCAATTAGACTAATTGCAATTAATTTTAATATGAAATATAAGGTCTTATTAAAGTTTATAGCTCGTCTTACTTGTTCTAGTAGGCATGTCTTGAAAGATTTATGGGGAGGTTGAATATTAAAATGTCTCAGATAATTTGTCTCAATCTTTATATAGCACTAACCAAAATGAAATCTCATAATATTAATTTGAAGTTGTTTATTGATGATCACAATAAGCATAATGGTGTTTATGGTTTAAAGGTAATATAAGAGTTACAGTTGAGTGTGGATTTCTGGAAGGTGTGTCGTTCCTTTTGTTCAAATCCATTGCACTACAAGAATTACATCTAATAATTTTTATCTACCAAGTAAATCGAGCGACACTGTGAAATGGCAAAAAATTTACAAGAAATATTATTGAGGAAAATATAAGTAACAGATGATGATCAAGGATGTTTGTTACATGAAAGTAATACAGCATATGTGCTGTAGAGTGTTTCGCAGTATATTTTTCCAGAAGAATTGTTACTAATAAATTTATCCTGTCCAATGAAGAATACTCCAACATCTTTACAAGGTTCTGCACTGTCATCGGACCAAATCAACGAATCTAAAAGTGTGATTCTGTTTTGTGAGTAGCACGTGAGATGAACTTTGAAACAGATGTGCTAAACAATGATGCTTTCTTAAATCATCACACTGTGCCATGAGGAAGAACAGCACTGAAATGTACAGTTAGAGAGAGATTGCTAACTATAGTTTGAGTCAACATTAGACCTTTCCATCTGATGTAGGAAGACCATCATTTTTCGTGGTCGAGGAAGAGGAAGGGCTCACAGCATTTGTGCCTTTGGATGGAGAAGAAGAAGGCGAAGGTAGCTTCTTTGGCAACATCTGTTCCCAGTATTCCTTAGGTAATCTTGATCCTTCTGAGAGAAGAACAAAAGCAAGAAGAGTCAAAAGCAAGCACTGGTGCCTCCAAGAACCTTTCATGATTGTGTAGTGTTACTCTCACTGAGCAATGAAATGAGCCCTCCCCTTTGGCTGTCAAAATAGCAGCTTTAGAGAGGTTTCAGTAGCAGACATGTTCAGTATTGTAGGGAGCTCGCCAACTTGTTTGTTTGGGAAAGGGTGTGTAAATGGCAGACAGTGAGGTTTTTGATAATCCAAAGTTGTTAAGCAGCCCATGTTGTTGATCTCATTGTCTAATACAATAATAGTATCCTAGTGCGCATGTGTGTGGAATATGAAGAATGGTAAAATATTCACTCTTACCCTTTCCGAGTTGGATTCTAATATTTAATTCATTATGCTTCTGTTTGCATATCTTTGTTGTTGTCAGACTTGTTCTAAGTGTATAATTATTGACAAACACTGTCTAAACAAAACACTATGTATATCATAATTTTACGTGTATATTATCACTTAACGTGTTTATGTATAATCAATTTATAGTTCTTTGGACATAGTCTTTCAACTACATATATTTAATATAACCACTACCTTTCAATTACATACATTCAATACAATCACTACTTCTCAACCATCATTACCTCTATAACCGTAACTAGGCATGGCAAATTGGCAGGGGTAGGTTTTGCTTCCTCGATCCCCGCCTCGACTTTTTAACAATCCGTGTCCCCGCTCCCGATTCCCGTCGGAGTTATAAATTAAGTTCTCATCCCCGTCCACGTTGGGTTTCGGATTCCCGCCCCTTCCAGTACTCGATCTATATTATTTTTAAAAAGATAATTACATTTATAATAAATTAATTTTACTATGTATTTTTATATATAAATAAATATTTATAATTTATAATTATTATTAATTAAATATACATTTTAATTTATTATATTTATATTAAAATATGTATGTAAAAGAAATATTTAATTATTTTATATATATATATATATATATAATATTTATAACATTATTATTATTATTATTATTATTATTATTATTATTAGTATTATTATTATTATTATTATTATAATATCATGTATTCAAATATTTGAATACTTATAACATTACTATTTTAATATTGTATTCAAACATTTGATTATATATATAAGTTAATTTATTTTTAAGTTGTTATTTAAAAATATGAAATATATAGTTTATAAGGAAATATTTAATAAGTTAATTCTTATTTAATTAGTTCGAAGTAATAAAAGTTTAAATTATCAATTCCTTTTAATCCTTTAAAATACAATTATTTTATTAAGATAAAATTTGATATATGATAAATAAACATAATAAGATAAAAAAATATGACATAATAAAAACTAATAAATATAAATTATAAATAAAATAATATTAGTTACTACTAAGATTTATGTAAAATATTTAGAAAAAAATAAAGAAGAAACAAATTTTACTTTGTGTTCATCAAATTGGTTGAAAAGATTGAAAAAAAAATTTGATGGAAGAGATTAACGAAATGTGAAAAGCTGAAGATAAGAGAGAATAATGTAATAAATTAATTGATATAAAAGATTAACAAAGATAAAAAAAATAAAAAATGGGTAGAAGAAAAATAAAAATTGGTGAAATATAAAAAAATGACTTTATATGTAATAGAAAAAGAAAATGAAATACTTTTAAAATATTAATATTTTAAAATTTAAATTTAAATATAAAGTTGGGGCGGGGACGGAGTTAGGGTGGGGATTGCATTACCCATCTCCACCCCCGCCCTTGCCCCGACTTTTTATAGCGGGGAAAACCTGAACCCGCCCCCAGTCAACTTGGGTTTTCCCTGTCAAACTCGAGGCGGGAACGGGTCGGTCCCCACGGGTACGGGTCGGTCCCCACGGGTACGGGTTTAATTGTCATCCTTAAATCACTAGCTCTCAACTACTTGCATTTAATGTTTACCTAACAAAATCCCCCCATAAACTTAAATGTTTTTTTTGTCCTTCATTCCAAGCATCTTCTTGCTTTTCTTGAATAGAGTGGTTGACAGTGGCTTCATGAACATATATGTAGCTTGTACTCGGGTTTCGACGTGCTCTAACTCCACATTTCCTTCTTTCACTTGTTCTCGAATGAAGTAAAACCGAACATCAATATGTTTGCTTCTCTCATGATTGACCGAGTTCTTTACCAATTCAATGATCGACTTGTTATCAACTCGAATCATAGTCCCTTTTTCTTGCTTCAACTCTAGCTTGCTTAGAAGGTTTCTAAGTCAAACTGCATGACAGACACTCCAGGATGCTACAACGTACTCAACTTCGCAAGTGGACAACGTTACAATTGACTATTTTTTTGAAAGCCAGGTGAACGCTATGTTTCCTATAAAGAATACATATTCAAACGTGTTTTTCCGATCATTAACATCTCCAGACCAGTCACTATCCGAGTAGCCTACTAGTCGGTAATCATCCGTCCTAGTATAAATTAGGCCAAGTGACACTGTTCCTCTCACATACATTAGAATTCTCTTTAGTGCCTTCCAATGAGTATACCTTGGCTCCTCCATATACTGACTTGTTATTCCAACACTTAACATTAAATCTGGTCTCGTATTTGTAAGATACCTTAGACTTCTAATCAAACTTCGGTATTTGCTTGAATCAATTCGGTCTCCATCTGCATACTTAGAAAGTTTTGTACCAAGTTCCATAGGGGTGGAAACCGGGTTGCAACTTGTCATCTTAAACTTCTTCAAGACCTCCTCAGCATACCTTTCTTGCGACACAAAGATGTCATCATTTTCCTGAACAACTTCTAAACTAAGAGAATACTTCATAAGACCTAAGTCAGTCATCTCAAACTCCTTCTTCATCACATTTTTAAACTCTTCAATCAGCTCAACACTATTCCCCATAAAGATAAGGTCATCAACATATAGGACAACAAACATCACATCTTCTCCTTTCTTCTTTATGTATGGAGCATGTTCATAAGGACACTTCTCATATCCATTTCTCTTGAAGTAAGTGTCAATTCTTTCATTCCATGCTCGTGGAACTTGTTTTAAGCCATAAAGTGTCTTCTTCAATCTCAGCACTTTCTTCGCTTCGCCTCTTCGCATGTATCCGAGTGGTTGTTCAACATATACTTCCTCCTCCAAGATTCCATTCAGAAATGCCGACTTCACATCCATCTGCAAGATTGTCCATATGTGTTAAGCTACTAAGGAAATCAACAGCCTAATTGTTTCTATCCTCGTCACTGGGGCGAATACTTCGTCATAGTTTATTTCTTCCTTCTGTTTGTACCCCTTCATTACGAGTCGAACTTTATATCGCTCAACTTCTCCTTCAGTATTTGTCTTCTTCTTGTACACCCACTTTACGTCGATAGGTCGTGCTCCTTTGGGAAAATCAGTCAGTTCCCACATGTTGTTACATTATATTGCCCCGATTTCCTCGTCCATTGCCTTTTGCCACCTTTTCTCCTGCACGACCTCTTCAAAATTCAAGTCTTCTGAATCTGCTAAGAAACATACAACATGCACTTCATCAGTGGAGTTGTATATATTTTGTAAACTTCGCGCTCTGGGTTATAGAGATTCATCTTCTTCATCAAAAGTCTCATGATCTCTCACAGTATGTAGTGTATCAACTTCTGAGCTTCTTCTTCCTATGGACTTCTTCGATTTGTTCCAACTCCACTCGCTCTCTTCATCAATTTGAACATATCAGCTCATAATGACCTTCTTAGTTATTGGGAAACAACCTGTACGCCTTAGTTTTTTCATCATACCCAATAAACACGTACTTTTTGCTTCTATCTTCGAGCTTGGTCATCTGTTGAGTAGGAATATGACCATAAGTTATGCTGTCGAACATTTTAAGGTGAGACACACTCGGCTTTCTTCCACTCCAGACTTCTTGTGGTGTCTTTTCGTTTAGCTTAGCATGTGGACATCTATTTTACACATAGATGACACATTATACTGCTTCTGTCCAGAACTTCTTTGACATGTTCTTGCTTCTCAACATTGTTCGAACCATGTCAAGAATGGTTCGATTCTTCCTCTTGAGACATCTGACCCTCGGTAGAAGGGTAGTTTATTTTATTCCGGGAGAGGAGCGTGCTTGTAGAATGTGGGGACAGCCAAAAAGTGTCCTCGTTTCTTGAAGAGTTAATATAAAAGCTCGCTTCGAAGGTTCTTTTTTTATACTCTCTCCTTTATCGCTTTCCTTGTAGGCATTAGATACTAGGATCATGTAGACATTTAAATTATGCAAGTAGATAAAATAAATAGGGTAAAAGCATGATTTTTTAGTCTTTATTTTTAGTCCATCATAGGGAACCCAAAAGGGACGTTGTGGGGTGCTAACACCTTCCCCACACGTAACTAATTTTCTTACCCGACTCTGGTTATAACGGTCAAAGTTGGTTTTTCAAAACCAATGCATTTTTACCTTTTTCAGTGTTTAAGGTTAAAACACTGGTAGTAACTCCATCGAATCTTTTCGAAAACCTCGCCTTTAGGTCCAGTCCGATTATCGGACAACCTAAAGGCGTTGAACATCTTCCTTTAAAAAACGTGAGTCATACCAAAATCATTATGTCGCTCCCAGTGGCGGATCTTCTTGGGAGCTGAGGGGTGCCGCCCCCCCCAAAGTTTTGAAACTCCTATGTAATTTATGATTTTAGCCCCCAAACTTAATGAAAATTTATTATATTTACTTGTATATTTACAATTTTATCCTCTCAGCCCCTCCTCAGTTTTGTAACTCACATATAATTTATGATTTTATCCCCCTCATACTTAATGATTATTTAATATATTTAAGTATATATCCAAATTTTATCTTTTCACCCTTTCATCTTCTTTCTTCTTTTTATATTTATTTATTATTTATTAATAATATATTATTTGACCTCCCCCCCAAGATCAATGGTCAAGATCCGCCACTGCCGCTCCGATCGTCTCTTTTGACGGTGGCAACATTGCACAAACGATATTCTCAAAGTCGTCGGTTAACGACCTTAAGATTTTCTCCACCACTCGGCAAGTGGGCAGCATCTCTCCATTTCTTCCGAGTTGATTTACCACGATCTCAACACGAGAGATGTACTCGGCAACCCCGTCGACCTCTTTCATCCTCATGCTTTCAAGCTCGCCTCTGAGAGTTTGAAGCCTGACTTGCTTCATGTGATTATCCCCTTTATATGTCTTCTCTCAAATATCTCACGCTTCTTTTGAAGATTTAACATTTACTATTTTCTCAAAGTCGGACTTATCAACAGCTCGGTACAGCATATACAAAGTTGTTTTGTCCTTTACCCGTGTTGCTTTCAACGCAGCAAACTGAGCAATCGTCTGCTCTTCAATATTCTCTGGTTCTTGGTGCCCATTTTCCACCACATCCCATACTTCCTGGGAACCAAGGAGAGCCTTCATTTGTAGACTCCAATTATTATAGTTTCCGCTTTTCGATAACTTTGGCAAGGGCATGTTGTTAGCTAAGTTGGTCATCTCGAACAAACTCTCTAACTCTCAAACACTCTCTCTAACGCATTCAGATACTCAGACTCTCAAGCTCTTATGTTAATTTGTTGACAAACAAGTATCTAAACAAAACACTCTGTATATTATCACTTGATGTGTTTTTGCAATGAGTGATACATGATTAATTTATAGGCCTTTGGACATGGTCTCTCAATTACATGCATTTAATACAACCACTTCTTCTCAATTACGTACATTCAATACAATGACTACCACTCAACCATTACTTCTCAACTACAACTACATGCATTTAATATTTACCTAATAATAATTATCAGTGTCACTTACTCAGTGTGGGGCTGTGCCAAGTGGCATTTGTGGCATGTATACAAGAGTTTCTCACTAATTTTGCATTCATTTCCAATCCATGTTAGTTAGAGTTTGTTTACGCTAGATACATAATCATATCTGCCTAGTGGATCTCAAGATTTATTTTCGTGTTTATTGAATCATTTCTTATAACAACACAAGAACTATAAAGCCTTTAAAAAACCAATACTGCACTTGGAACCTTCAAAAAGACACGAAATAATTATACATACACTAATGAACAATGATGCATTGATGCTGGGTAACTTTAATAACACATTTTTGTCATTGATTAAAGTTTCATCATCGAAGCCTTTTAATTATAGGTTAACTAGGCCAAAGTCTATCTGTAGTATTATTCACAGAATTCAATCATGCAAACATGAGGAGAATGGTCTTTCTTCGGCAACTTCACATACATCAAAAGCTAAAAGTCTCAAGTTCACTACGAAAAAAAGTTGGTTCATTTCATTGAGTCCAACAAAAGTCCACCCCAAAAAAAAGCATCTTTATATTTTGTATGCTGTTTATCCAACAAAGGAGTGTATTAACTATATGAAGATACTGAGATACAGACACCCATGGTGTCTGTGAAAAGTGGATATTTTTTAAGATTTCAGGGCTGGGTATTCTTTGATCAGTTAAAGGGTGCGCGTGTGTATATATATAGAGAGATTGAAAGAGAGATTAACCCACTAAAACGCTATATATCTATGTTAGTAAGTTAACTAGTTATGCTCGTTTTATATTTTATTCCATTTCAAAATCCAAAAGCCTTTGGGAGTGACAACCTGACCATCCAATGATTGTTAATTTTTATGGAAACAAGTACAATAGTTTGAATATTATTATTGAAGTACTGTTTTTCTTTTGTTTTGTTTTTTAAACTTAGCAACGTTGTGAAGCAAATGTAAAACTTTTGTGTCTCCAAAACTTTATTGTATAGAAAACTATGATTGAAAGGTTGTCGGGTTAAAGCAACAATAATAATTACTTGCGCAGTTGGAAGGTGCAGAATGCAATTCCAACAGCCAAAGTGGGTCACATTCTTTCTCAAACTGCTTTTTTGTCTCCTACACATCCACCGTCACTTAATAAATTTCTCTTCTTACAGCTTTTTTAAACTCTGAGCAATTGGATTTGGACATGCTTATGATAAGACATTTTTAATTGAGTCTTCTTACAGACTGTGTTTGGGAATGAGATCAATGGCAATCTCCTTGTTCAAGGCAAAGAAGATCGTCCAAATAGAGGAAAAAAAATGTGACTGAGTAAATCATTTTCTGCTTGTGTTATTGCAGTTCTGGTTTGCAAAACTTAGATATTTCTGAAAAACTGAGGAAAGACGCGATCGTTGTGAAAGCTATCAAATTTTAAAATATTGTAGTTGTGGAATGAAACAATATTTTACATTTATAATAGATAGAAATTAAACTCATTGATAATCTTGTTTATATGTTTGAATCTTTCTGACATATTTAGCTATCGCACGACAACAACATAATATCCTCACAAGGAAGATACGTTCTACCTTCCTGTCAGATTTCCATGACCTTTGACACACACCTTGTCCTCAAGGTATTAGGCATTGTTGGACACAGTATTACAGTGGGAGGCCCACAACAACGAAAGAGAAAAAAAGGTTCAAATCTAAAGTTTTCTGACACAGGAAAGGTGCTAAGTCAGTGTACATAAGCAACAATTTGAACATGAATTCGCAAGGTAGTAAAGAACCAGAAGTAACATGAAAATATATTAACCCTCTTGTCAGAGAGAAAAGTGAAAACTGGTGTGCATACAATTCATGGTTTTGAGGGGTGAGGAGAAAATTATGTTCGTATGCTTCAAATGTTACAAAGCATTTTAATAATGAAAGTATTGCCTAGACTCCTTTCGATCTAACCAAAAATGCTTTTGGTAAGAACTCGGTGGTAAGCTATGTTTTAGTCAGAAATCAATGCCCCAAGACTAGTGTACTTTGTGTGTTAAGACATGCAATGTCCTAAAATATAATATAAGAGGATTACCAATGTTTTATTTCCCTTCATGGTCATATCTTAGTGGCAAGGTCATGTCTTTCTTACGTTCTAAAGTTCAACCAGCTAAAAACGCATATTCACCGCAAGCTAGATTTGACAACGTGGGTAGTTACCTCATTCATAACTCGAGTGTTTGCAACTTCAATTGTTTTATTTAAGGTTTGAAATTGTAGTCACATTCACGGCCTTTTTGTGTTGTTGATATTTCGAAAAATTATGGACAAATTTACTTTAGATGTGATAACAATTTCGATTGCATTGCGGTCGGTCACAATATAACACACACAATAACTTTCATATTATGGCTAAAATCACCATTTATTAAAACTTTTCTTCGTGATTAGTCTATTTTGAATTAAATTGTACTTGAGAGTGTGAAAATCTTCTTATATTGGATTTAATTGACCTTTCAACTCAGTTCATGAAGATTTTCAAATTACTACCGGTAGGTACGGTCTTGTAGAATTAGTTTAAGGTAAAATATTACAAGGCAACATTTGTCTTGTTACTTAACACAATTAGTCACGATTTTCCTTTAATGCAAAGTTTAAATATAATTTAGCCTCTTTCATAATTTTGGCGATTAAAAACGATTTGGTTTGATTTAAAACCCGTTCATTGACAAATTAAAACCATCACTGAAAGCTGTGGAATACCCAAACTTCAGAATAAGTCAACCTCTACGTAACTTGGTGAATTTCAAAACAAGGTGTTATTTTTTCATTTAATTAAAATTTTGTTTCTCGTCAATGATTAGTTACATGGTCCGAAACATAGGTTATGTAACATACTACTTTGCAGACCCCACCACTCAGTCACCCATAGACCATGATCTGATACGGTGCTTTTCCAACTCGAGTTTTTCATTGTGTAACCAAAAAGGAAAATTGAACCCTGCTGAATCTAATATTACTGAAAACACGAGCAAACAATCAATATGAGCAATATTCATGAATATATGCAGCAATGTACTGATTAAACCGGATACATGCATGACGAATCATACTCCAAAATTATTGAAGACCGCTAAAATGGGTCATCAGAGTGATCAGAAGCAAAAGCTGATCCTTAGCATTCGTAAGCAGCACCAATGCACATACAAAAACTAAAACTCTCAAAATGGTCTACTACTGGGTTTGGAGGGTGATGAGGTTTTGGATTTTGCAAAGTCAAGTAGATCTTTAAAAAGGACATCTTCCGGCTTCTCTTGTTTGGTTGGAGTAGATGAATTCAGAGATAGATTCTGGGTTTGTGCCAACAAGCTGTCATTTGAGGAACTGGACCCAGAACTTGGATGAGACACACCTTGTTGCTCAGAAAATTGCTGTCTCTGATTAACCATTGAAGGGGGCTGTGTAACAAAACCTGGAGATCGTGTTTCACGAGGATTTGCAATAAGGATTTCTGAGGATTTATTGATGGAAGATGATTCATCAGACAGAGGCTGCCTGCTTAAAATCGGTGATGAGGTACTTGCAGAATGAGGCGGAGAGGAAGACAGTGTTGCAGTGGTTGAAACAGGATTATTAGAACTAAAATGAAGGGGCTCGGCATATGAAATTGGTTCAGAGTGTTCATAGGATCCTTCTGTTCTGTACGCATCACCACTGAGGTAATCAATCATACCAGCATCAGAGAAGATTGGTTTTTTTGGTGCTGGTGGTGGGGGAAGAATTGGGTTTACTCTCACTGGTTCTGTCTTGTCATTGACTTGTTTCCGTCTCTCTGCATTAGTAATTCGTGATGACCTGCACTCAGTATATAAACATGTAATTAGAGACTATATTGAAAAGGGAAAGAAAATGAAGACAGGAAGGAATATCTATCAACCAGTGTATCAACCATCAAATGAATCACGCTTTAGACAAGTAATCATCATGCTCCCATATCACAGAATCCACTAACAGAAATAACTAGCAACGAGCTGAATATAATACAGCAATTTCACCTATGGGCTAGTTGGGCAAAATCATCGTCTGACTCATCATCCTCTTCATTGTTTACATTTACAACTGGAAGAATAGATGTTTCTGCTCCTCTTGTGCCTGTATCAGGATTTGCTTTTACAATATTTTCATGTTGACTAAGCACTCGCTGAAGACTGTCATTCAGTGCCAACCCCTGACATAAAAGCTGTTCATCCCTGAAGAGAATCAAACATTACAGTCATCCTTCTTAATTACACTGACAAAATGGATTTGGTCATCTAAAACAATATTCTTACGCAGTCTCATTCACAAGAAGCAAAACACGCTTTTGGTAAGATCGACACTGGTCAACAAGGTCAACAATCACCTCCTGCTTCACAACCTGCATATTTTGTCCATAATTTTAAGAAAAAAATAAATATTGATTACTTGCTTGACTACTTTCTGTTGAACAATAAGTTAATGTGTGCAAAAGCATTAAAGATTGAAAAAAATATCTTGGTTTATCAATTCCATCTCAATCTTAAGTTAAATACAATGCTACTCTATAGCTTAGGAATTTAATAACTTTCAAGCTGAAGGTAAATACATGTCCTTCCAAGGTCAGTAATGATAATATACACTTAATGGAATAAGACGAGTAGATTATGAGTAACTTGATGTTGAGCTTAAAAGTGTTTTGTAAAAATTGAACTTAAGATACGACTGAGAATATGATCAGTATGATCTAAGAGTGAAAAGAATGAAGAATGAATAACTAGAAAAACTTACAGTTCCAATGAAACTTGTACTATTATCAGCTAAAGATACTTTTATAGTAATGTAAAAGTTTGAAAGACAAATGTCTTTTTAGCTAACATCTTTTGAAAGCAATCTTTAAAGACATGTTTGGACAGTAAAAGTGGACATCTCTTGCAATAGAGATTCAAAGAAAGGCACAACAATTACTATCTATAATCTGCCTAATACTCATACTATCCAATTTTTTTCATTTTTGTGTAACTGCTGCAAAGCCTTGTCCATATATGACAGGGTTGGCTATCATGATCAATCATGCATTAGGGTGCTTATTCAATTTGCTAAACTGGGATATATCACATATCGATTAGTCCATAATAACACTCAATAAGTAGCATAATATTACACCCTTTATATATTAAAAAAACCACCAATCACGAAGGTGCGAGGATTAAACACACAAAAAGGAAAGTGAACAGTCACTAGTGTCAACTGCTACTAGTATGGGTTCAAAGTTGGTTTGAGAGGGCATGTTCTCTTATGTGTTATATTTTGAAACAGAGAGAAGAGGAAAGTGAGAACATAGACAAGAATTATCTAGTGGAGTATAAAGCAGAGGCCCTCTCAAATGCCCTGGAGCACGGGGCCTCTCGACTACACTGTGCCTTTACAATTTGAGTTAACTGGCTTCCACTGCAAATGCATCATGCAGATCACTAAATAATATCACACTGAGATTATTATAATACAGTGTACAGACATATTTTCTTTGAGATATGATTTAGTTTCTGTTATATACTAAATGCAACAACAAAATTTAAACATATTTTTCATAAACAATCATAACTGAATAGAGAGAATGTAGCTAGTCAGATAGTAGATAAAGGACAACAACATTAAAAGATTACATCACCTCAGGATTTTTAGGATCCAAGGCATTAAGCATTTCAGTCAATACATCTACTAGTCCTTGAGCATTCTGAATCTCTGGCAAACTGATAAGAAGAAAATTTTGGGGATAAACACCAATACAACTTAATATGGTGAATCTTCATGGAGTTAGATGCTTGTTTACATTGATTATAAAACACTTTCCTCCTAGGGTCCCTTATCAGAGAAATAGGCAGAGGTTGCTAATGCAAGAATTTCATAATTATGAAGGTAATGGAAATTTCATTATCACGCAAAAATAATACAAAACTAGGTTTGTTCAGATTTATGAGAAATTTCGTTTTCACTGATTAATTTTAAAACCATAGCCATAATCCAGAACTTACAGGGTACAAAATGTAAAAAACAGCAGGAAAGGACGAAAAGAAGACAATCACACAGAAAAATATTCTGCTGTGTTTAACAATGTGATATGCTATGATGTGATACAAAATACAAAGCACTAATCTCTGTTTATAGTATACAAATATTAGATTGCTAATCGTAATTAAATATTAAAATAAATCATGGAAGATAAAAAAATATGGAAACAACACAAAGTGATCCTCTAAAAATGTGCTAGAGTATGCAATTTTCTAATTCTAAGATAAAATAATGATATTGTGAGCCATTTTCTAGATATTCTAAAACCTATATATAAAATTGGGTTTATAAGGTGGAGAAACAAACTTTGTTACTCTCATACACAATGTGAAATGACTAAAACTTCTAGCCACGCAAAACAAACAAAGGATTACAACAGTATGAAAAAGATCCAGTTAAAGAGTACCTAAGGCCAGATGCATCAGACTGAATAGAGGGCTGAATAGCAGAAGCATCATATTCTGCAGCAGCAAGATGACCAACTGACTGGGTTTGAGGAGGAGTGAAGAAAGGAACACTATTCTCTTTTCGTGGGGGGAATTCAACTCCAGCAGACTGCGAATTGTTAAAGTACATTGCAGAAATAAATTATCAATGTTTTAGCTCTAATCCAAATAGTTGCAACTTGATGATATAAAGTGTGTGAGCATATGGATTGATTTTTTAACCAAAATGTCAAGAAGATACAAAAACAGCTCTACAAATTTTTATGAAGCAAATTCAACAATACGACAACTTACTAAAAATATTCTGGGAAGAGCATGAGGAAACAATGATGACATGCGAAAAATCAACTGACACATCTTAATAAAGAGCATGTTAATGTGGTTCTGGATTAAGGAAACAACTAAAAAATAGAGATATGTTATTTGTACAACCAAGAAAGAGAAAGTAAAAGAAGAGAAATCGAGATGTATGTGATGGAGAGACAGAAAAAGTTGTTAAATGAATGACACAACTCTCAAAAATATGTTCCAGACAGGTGTAAGAACTTGACAACACTCCAAATGAAACATTACCATTCATCACCATATGAATGTACATCAATAGAAAATTATAAATGTCGATATGTATGTTTTCAATAGTAATACCGCTTGAAAAATATAGAAAACACTAGAAATGTCAAAATTTACAACCAATCACCTTTAATTCATTATATGCCGCATGGTATTGGGGATACCTTCCATTTGGTCCACCAAAAGCTTCTTGCCATGTATCAATCAAAATCAATATCTTTTCCTTCACACTTAAGTCAGGCTGTCCAGTAGAATTAAAATAATGCACCACTTGATCAAATTTTCGCTTTCAAACATACAGTTGCAGAAATTACAAAATATAGTATAAAGGAAATATATCAAGAATAGTTGGCACTTGGCACATCCATCCAAGTCAAGCTTTCAACTAAGTCGATCAGCATTCAAAACTCATTGATGTCTGTTGTGGGTATATTATAGGTAATCTGCAAGCACTCATTGAGCCTAGGCCTTGCCATGACTCTATGATGGGACTGTGACCCCTGGACCTAAAATTTTCTCTTAAAAATAAGAATAAAAGAATATTCAGAATCAAAAGTCCATAAATACCTTCTTCTTCACTATTTTAACCATGTCAAGTAAGATATCCCGCTCAATGATCTGTTGAAATACACTGTCACCACAATTTTTACTAAGGGTTTCCAATGCCTGCATAAAATATTTGAATATAAAATATCTATGTCAGGTAATCATAATTTTTTTTGTTATCACCAGAACAGACAATGAATATGATTTTTTGGAAGCAATTTATTCATAATATCTCTCGTGCAGACAGAATGACATGTCTGAGAACTTTTACATAATTTATTCAATTTTGCAAAAAATTAGCAAAAAAGAATATAGCTTAATTCATCATATCAAATTGAATGAAATAATCATCAAGAAGTTAAAGATCAAAATTACTGACAAAAAAATAAAGTTGTATTTTGAAAAAATACTGACAAAAAGAGCCAGAAGTTGTATTTTGGGATTTTTATTGCCCAATCGCTTCTTAAGTATCTTTATTGCATCCTTTGCTTGCCTGCAAGTTCAACATCAAAGATGAGGAAAATGATAGAGGAATCCCTATTGAGAAAAATTCAAAATATGGGTTGAAGCAATTTTATACTTGAGATCAAAAACCAAAAAGCAAGATAAACTCAAAATAGCTTTATTCTTGCTTTCAATCCTACTATTTCAATGAAGTTGACTAACCAATAAATTTCAAATTGATGCAATTATACACGTCATAGGTTGGTGGGGTTCTAGTATTCGTACTTAAGTCCTTTTGTATTAATTGACACTACATTGTCACAAAAGAGTGTTCCACATAATGTTCTCATCGTAGATAACTGGGGGATTTAATTGTATCAATTCGAAAGCAATTGGACCAACATTGTTGCAAGTAATAATGAAATGGACAGCATCAAATACAAAGGAAACTAAGCAAACCAAAACTGTAACTATGCCTCATTATAGTATAAATCTTAGAATCATAGCATGCAACCATTCTCTGCTGTTTGATAAGAATCTTTATACTCACCAACATACAATTCTCCAGTAATAAAATTCTCAAGGGGTAAATATATCAGTTATATCAGCACCGTCCAAGATGTCAATGTCCTATAGTCTTACCATTCACAAGTCCCGGAGGACTCTACAATTAATTTTGATGCAGTCTATAAAATATGGTGCTCACTAAAGCGAAAGAAAGGGATATTTAGCATTTCATCAACAAACAGTTCAAGTCATTTAAAATAAAGGATAAGAAATAAAAATTTGAGAAAAAACAGATACTGATGCCAGTGCATGAGCTACAGATGCAGAATAAAGGTGTCGTTGTCCAATAACATGAACCGTAGGGCTTGACTATTCCAATTCTCTAAACAACACAGAACAATTTGTAGCAAACAAAGAAAATATCGGTCACTTCATCCACCTCACATGGAAATCTCCAAACCACATCGCCAACCATACTATAACCAGTAAAAGCAGAGTGGAAGAGTTTATTTTAAAACAATCACTACAAATTTTACTTTCTTGTAGTGCAAGATTACTAAACATAATCATAAGCATTGTTAACAAAATATGTGGCCGATCAAGCAACTAGTTTCCTATTCATTTCTTGATTGAAAAACAACATACACAAAGCATATATCATAGAGTAGAATAATGGGTTACAGAAATGAAATAAAATAAAACAAGAGAGATACCTAGGATCCATATTAATGATATCACACAGTTCTATGTTAATTGCCCAGTCTGGCCCAATCAGCAGGTCACTAGTTGCCCTCTCAGCACAGGCTGATGCATTGTTAGCCATTTCGCTCTCCCTCTCTCTAGTCAAACTCAAAACTTCAAATTCAATTCAAATCTTCTGCAAATCCATACACTAAGTTATATCATTAAAAAAATTAAGCCAAAGTAACATCATAAAGAAAGCACATCATAAAATAAAACTTCGAACTGCTCCCTACACAATACTAGTTTTATCTAATCCGAGGTTTCACTCACAATATACGATTCAGACGATCAATTTTTCAATTGAAAAAGTAAAAGAATACAGAAGAAGGGATCTACCCAGTTAGTCAAAACTATAATTGAAAACAGACACTCAATCTGTTAATTTAGCTCAAAACAATAAGAATAACGTTCTTATTATTATAAATTGTAATAATATGGTCAAACCGGAGAGAAATGTTAAAGCCTGAGATAGCAAGATAACGTTGTGAACAGAACAATAAAAATTTCTCAGTGTCTGGTTGTTAACGCGTGAGGCAATAAAAAAGACAACCGAGCAAATAGATCATAATGACGCAAAATTAACTACCTTACATGATCAGATGAAAAACCCGTCGAATCGAATTGAAAATGTAACACGTATCATTAACGATTCGGATATTCGAAAGAAGAATAAGGAAACCACAGCTTTGGGGGATTGGGAAATGGGGATTGTTGGCGTCTCTGTCAAGTGTGTGCCTTTTCATCACTTTTTTTTTTTTTTTGTCTCCTTTCATATTCAATTTTTCTTCGAAAATATTACGTGTTTCTACAGACATGTTTAGCCATAATTTTGTATAAAATATTATATGATATAAAATTGAAAAAGAAAATAAAGAGTGTGTGAAGTAACGTGACAAATATAGATTAAAAGAAAATTCATGTTAAAAAACTAAATCTAATTAAAATAATTATTTTTCATAGAGCCATTTAATCAATAATGATTATTATTATTTTATATCTTTATATTAATTTTAATAATTATTATTTTAAAATCACTTTTCAAAATAAATGAGATGAATGTCTCGTGGTGGAGCTTGCTTGAGTTTATATAATTTTATTTTATTTTAATTTGATTTGGCTAGATATTTCTCTCCAACTTAAAAATTATTTATAGAATTCCTTGTTTATAAGCCCAACATATTTTGTACAAGCCCAAACACACTTTTTACTTTCATTTAATATAGTATGATATGATGTTACTATAAGTTGTAATTATACTAAAATGTGTATTGCTTATATATAAATTATGAGGGCAAAAGTTTCAATTAGTAAATATCTTTTTTATTATTGCGTAGTCTTGATAATTAATTTCACTATATTTCTCAATCTTCCCCTTTTTTTTCGTTTGTGTTTTTAAAAAATCTTTTTTTTTTTACTTTTTATCTTAGGGTAATCAAGAAGGTTATACCGGAGATAATCTCATGATTCATGAATGTCTTATGTTTTTATGTGGGTGTCGTTGCGGAACTCAAATGCAGTCACCTTGATTGGATTTGAATCCAGATTTAGATTCAATTGATGGTTTCGTTCTTGTGTTCCACCGTTAACATTAATTAGGGTGTTGTGCCAAAACACCAAAAGAATGTGCTTAAACACTTTAAATCTAATTTAGAAAATATGATTAATTTAAGTCACACTTATCTTTCTCTTTCTTTGTAGGAATTATGGATTTAAATATGTAAAATAAATATTACCGCTTCATTTTTCTATCAATCTGAATTGCTTTTGTAAGAGAAACTGAGGAGCTAAGGGCAGTAGAAAAAATAATGGATAAGAAGTGGAGAGAAACATTGAGCAAAATATTGGACATCAAAGGTATTAACGACTAATTATATATTGACTAAAAAACTTTAGTTTTAAGGTTATTGTTAAATTTTACAAAGTGTTAAAAATTTGTATTTTGCTATCTAAGGAGCATTTTAGTATTTAACCAATTTTTACTGTTAATTGATTATTATTATTATTAGTAGGAAAAGGTCTTTCAAAGAGTATAAGAGAGAAAAATAGTATAGAGAGGTGTTATAAGTGAAAGTAATTGATGTGTTATTGTTTAGTATGTACACTCATACATTAAATATATATTTACATTGTATTTATGACAGAAAACTAAAATATAGTTAGATCTAATATCTTAATATAATTAATCATTATTAATTGCAATTGTTGAATTATTATACAACATAACCCCTTAATTTAACAATTAATTTTATATTTAAGTCTTTTCTCAATGGTTCAAAGGTTTTGCGATGATGTTAACCAATTATTCTTTAGTGGTATCGTGCTCTAATCTCAGCTTCTTCTTTCTTACTTCATCCCTTATAAAATGAAATCTTGTTTTAATATGATTGTTTCTTCTATGATGAATTGAATTTTTCGCTGAATTGATAGTCGACTTATTATCGATCTTTAAAGTCATAGCCTTCTGAGGTCTGTCAAGTACTTGATTCATCAAACTCTCAATCCAAAGTGTTTGATAAGTTGTATATGAAACATACATGTATTCTACTTCACAAGAAGAAAATGTCACAATAGGTTGTAACTTCGAGCACCATGATATCAATGACTTATACCAAATAAGAAAACATAACATGATGTGCTTCTAAAAATAACTTTATCACTAACCCAATCTGAATCGGAATAACAGACTAACTCTCCTCCATTTTGGTGTGCAGCATTAGGTAATAAAATACCATAATCGATTATTCCTCTTATGTACCTTAAGATTTTTGTTGTTGTTATAAGGTGAGATGTTTTGGGTTTCTCCATAAATTTGTTTAGCAAACTAACACTAAAACAAATATTTAGTCTATTGCAACACATATATCTCAAACGACCAATCATATTTCTATAAATCGTACATTTACTAACTTCCCTTCTTCAACTCAGTCTAACTTTAAATTTGTCTTAATTTGTATAGTTATTGCATTAAATTCACTCATTTTGAACTTTTTTAACACTTCCGTATTTACTTTGGTGAACTAAAATTCTTTTCTCACCTTGGATAAACTCCATACCCAAAAAATACGACAACATCCCTAAATCAGTTATCTCAAATGGATCTGTCATCATTCTTTTAAAAAACCTCAATCAATGTAATTTTGTTGTCAGTTATTAAGATATCCTTGACGTATAAACATAATATTAGTACTTCATCACCATCAATTTTCGATTAAATTCCATACTCAACTTCACACTTCGAGAATCCTTACTATCGAAGAAAATCATAAATTTTGATGTTGTAGGCTCTCAATGTCTGTTTTAGGCCATACAAATCTTTCATCAATCTAAATACCTTATGTTCTTCTCCAGTAATCACAAATCTTGGTGGTTGTATAACATACACTTCCTCCTCTAACTCACCATATAAGAACGTAGATTTAACCTTCATTTGATGCATTTCTCATCCTTTATAACTTGCAAGAGCTACAACAGTTCTTATTGTCTTCATCCTAGTCATTGATGTATAGACTTCTTTGTAATCCAAGCCTTTTCTCAGAAGAAAATTTTTCGCTACAAGTCTGACTTTATACTTTGCAATTGTTCCATCCGACTTGAATTTTGTTTTATTTACCATTTTCACACCTATTGGTATTTAATCTTCGCAAATCAGTTAATTCGCACGTATGATTCTTCTTTATTACAACCAACTCTTCTTTCATTGTTTTTATTCACTTAGGATCTTCAAAGCATATTGGTTCAAGTTTGATCTCAACATATAAAGCTAGATGAACTAGATCATTCTCGGTCTCTCAGATAATTCGTTCAGTTGTTATAACTGTATCATCAATATTAATCATATAGTCATCGATTTTTGTTGGTGTTTTTATCGATCTTCTTGCATAGATTTCTTAGATCGATCTATCTCTTCCCTTGATTTCTTCATCCTAAGAAACATTAAAATTGATATTCCACTACAAGAAAAAAGCATTTTAGCGACCGAAAAAATCGGTCGCTAATGTCAAAAAATCGGTCGCTCATCAGTTAGCGACCGAAATTAGCGACCGAAAGGCGTCGTCGCAAAAAGCCAAGTCGTTAATGTGTTAGCGACCGGTTTTCATTTCGGTCGCAAAATAGCGACCGATTTTATTTCGGTCGCAAAATAGCGACCGAAATTAATATATCAAATTGGTCGCTAAATCGGTGACAAAGTTAAAAAAATAGCGACCGATTTAAATCGGTCGCTAAATCAATGAAAAAATTAAAAAAATAGCGACCAATTTAAATCGATCGCTAAATCAATGACAAGTTAAAAAATAGCGACCGATTTAAATCGGTCGCTAAATCAATGACAAAGTTAAAAAAAATAGCGACCGATTTAAATTGGTCGCTAAATCAATAACAAAGTTAAAAAGTTAAAAAAAATAGCGATCGATTTAAATCGAGTCGCTAAATCAATAATAAAGTTAAAAAAATAGCGTAGATTTAAATCGGTCGCTAAATCAATAACAAAATTAATTATTTTTATTTATTTACATTTTTAATTATATTTATTATTTATTTCCCCTACCTCTTTTTATATTATATTTTTGCATATTTAAGCTTTTATTTATATTTATTTCCCCTAACTCTTAATTATATTATATTTTTTAGAAGTTTAACTTATTATTAGGTTTATTGTCATTTTTTAGAAGTTTAACCTGGTACCTTAGAGTTGGAGGTGAAAATCCAACCATTGAGCTACTTAGGATTTTTTAATAATAACTTACAAATAAATTATATTTATATACAAATATTATAACATAATGGTATATTAATATAATATAATATATTTGTATTCTAATTTTTAATTAAACTAAAATTACGCTAATAATGTATAATAATATATGAGGGGATAATATTGATATATTGATATATATATATATATATATATATATATATATTTATATTTATATAATGATATATTTATACATTAATATATTTATATATTTATATTTTGATATATATATATATATATATATATATATATATTTTTTGATATATTTATATATTTATATACTTATTTATATCCTTATACATTTATATCTTTATATATTTGAAAAA